GAGGAAAAACGAGGATTTATGGAAGGTATCCATGGAATGGGAGAGCCGCGGTGTCCTTGCGGGTGATCCCAGCTCGAAGGTGCCATTCCGGTCGTCGGATGACCATTCATTCCGCGTAAAACTCCTCGATTGCGGCCGAACGTGGCAGAGGGATCTGCCGTGAGTGGACCCAATTAAGTGGCCGCAAGAGGGCATATCGATCTTGGCCCGGCCGGCGCGGCGAGGGTTCGGCGACCCCGCTCCAAGACTGGACAGCGTCCGATGAAATATTCACACGTCACCCGAACGGCCAACTATCCACCCCTCAGGGTCGATCACCCCGCGAGCTGCGATCGCCGACAAATTGCGCAACGCCATCGGGGGTGAGTGCACTCGCCAATTTGCCAGTTGCATGCTTCCGGCGTCGCCGCTAATTCGCCGCCGTCACAAAATCAGATGGACGCCACGTCGAATTTTATGATCGGGATCTGCGTCGAGTAGAATGCTGCCTTTCTTAGGAAGAACGCCGTATGAACCTTCAGACTTTGTCAAATTTTCTTCGATAAAATACAAATTTCCTGGTAAACTTATGAATATTTTTCTTCCGATTTTTCAGATAATTTTGCTCGTAATTCCACCGAAAAGTCCTGAAAATTTCGAGGGAAAATATTCTTAAACCTATAGAATTGTATCGATTGCAGGTGCTCCAACAAGAATCGATTATTTAACATAGGTTTAAATGGAGGAAATCTGGCAATGCTAAATTCAGGGCCGGATTTATGGGGTGGCCACATGGGCCGCGGCCCATGGCGGCAAATTTAGGGGGTGGCAAATTTTGCAATTGTTTTAAATTTAGCTATGAAGAAAAATCGGATTCAGAAAAAAATTACAAACGAGAAAAGGTGACAGAATCTCTCATTTCCTAAGAGTTAAGGTATAGTAATTTTTAATGTGTTCGTCTTTCGGTGATACAAGAGACAGCACCTTTCATTAGTCTAGTTGAGAGAGAAACCAAACACGCAATCTGGCCTGAGGCGGCGCGGCGCAGAGATCAATGATGACGAGAACTTGAGATGAAAAGGAGAAACCCTCGGCGTGGCGCAGCGGTCGGCATGTAACACATATTAGCGCCTGCAAGACTGCATGAATACTTCACGCATTGCGTCAAAGACAGCGCGGTCACTGCGGTCAGCAGCGGGTGGCGTGAAACGCATAGCGCCTCCAAGACTGCATGAATACTTCACGCATTGCATCAAACACAGTGCGTGCAGCAGCGGTTGACGTAAAACGCATAGCGCCTACAAGACTGTAAGATTACTTCACGCAGTGTGCCAAACACAGTGCAGTCAGCGCGGCGCGGCGCGGCGACGGAAGTTATTAATCCAGACAAATTATTAAACCACATTAATGTTTGTTCTTTCATATAAATGCATTTTCCCGTTCATATCATATAAATGGAAGGCCTTGTCCGCACAGAGATAGGTTTACGGAACTTAACTTTCGCGCCAAGTTCCGTGAACTTTTGCTAGTAGTGTTGACAGGACTTTCGCAAAAAAGTGTCCAACACGAGTAAACGCGTCTTATGCACCCCTCCCCCTCCGGCACGTTCACTTGATGGCTTTTATTGATGTTTCAAAACGAATGAGAAGGGGGCGGCAAGTAAGTAAATCCGGCCCTGGGCAAATTGCTGGAACCGCCTAAATGGCGACACGGTACAGCAGTATGTCGCAATTGTCGCACGGAGGATATGGGCCAATACATGAAACGTATCTGCAGAATTATAGTCTGTTGACGCGCTAGCCAGTTTTTTTGATCATTTTTATTTCAACCACTTATTTTTTGCACGGTTCCTCGCTCCGAGCTCTAGAAAGTCTGTAAGGATAGAAGTCAGCTCACGAGCGCAAAAATGCACAAAATCCCATGCGATTTCACATCTCTGGCGTATGTGAACTTGGTTATTTGATTATTTGTCACCGGCGGGAAATGTGTGCCGAGGATAAACATTAGCCCCGTTTAGGAAAGGGTCGTGGGTGGAACCTGGCTCTGTGAGTCGCGGCTGCTCCTGATTGTCCGTCACCATGGTGACCGCCTTCGTTATCCGGGACGCGCGAACCCGGAGCGGTATTGCACGCTGCACAAATTCATAGTTGAGTTGCACTTATTGTTAGTACCGGGCGTGCACCGAAATTCGTGAAGCTCTCCGCGCGATGTCGTTTCCGCGACATTGAATGTTATTGCTCTCGTAGCACTGAGTGTTGTTCCAGCGACGTTCGATGTTTTCCCTGCCACAGTGGATTTTGTTCCGGTGGTGCTGAGTTTTCTTTCTCCGAGATTATGTCGCCCCTGCGGCGTTGAATGTTGCTTCCGCGAATAGCCGAAGATGCGGCGAACAAGTGCGACTGGCCACGGTTAAAGGGCCGATCTCGGCCTCAGCTCAAGCTCCCGAAGGTTGAGAAGTGCTCGAACGTGGATATGCAGTGCTACAACCTCATGCTCAATGAGTTCCTTCGTGACCCGTTCTTCTAGTAAGTTTAGTCCAGCACGGACTCTTAGTGAAATATAAATTACACCGAAAAAAAGGTACTGTGGTAACACCACAGCCGTTAAACAAATGTGCGACAACTCTTTGATGTTGTCATTAACACTTTTACATCCCAGAATGTTACTTTAACACCAGAGTGTTAATGACAACATCCAAAAGTTGTCGCACATTTCTTTAAAATAATTTTTTTCGGTGGAATAATAACAGCTCAGAAATTGAAATGAAAAAGTATCATCAATGCTGATGGAGCGTTGATACTCAAGGAACACCGGTTGCAATCAGTGGCGTGGCCAGGCTGGGGGGAGGGGGGGGGGGCAGGGCCCCCCCCCCCCTAAGAGACATTCTTGACCGTAGAAAAATTTCATCATAGGAAATTTCGATTTAATCGCAAAAATTGAGACTTTATTTCAATATTTTCGTCGCAGAATGCTGCCTAGGACGCAGCTTTCACTCGTGTCATAGTAGTATCATTTTGACAGTTAAAAAATACTATGTCACAAAATCCTGATAACTTTGTCGTATGACATTATGAATCATAGATAATTTTGCGCTTAAAACAAAACAGATCAGAAACAAAATCATTATCCATCCTTCGAATGAAGGTTTTATCACATTAACCTACCCAGGGGAGCTTCCATTGGAATTTGGATTGAGTAAAAAATATCATTAATTGCTCAAATTGTATTATTTGGACGTTATTTAAGCTGAGAAAAACTATGCACAAATGAATAAAATCAAAAGTAGGTAAAAATGACACAAACCACATGTATACAGGTCCTATCGTTTCACTTGATTTGTAATCAATTCTCTTCAGCATAAATACGTCCGTTCTAGCCTTCATTCTAAGATTTTTCTTTAATTTTTTAAAGAACTTTGCAGACAGGCGCAGAATATATACCAATCATTGTTCCAAGAATTTTCGACACATCTAGCTACATGTAAGGATACTTCTGGATTAAGGTTAGGGAAGGCTATTGTTTTTATCAAAATATCCTGAAAAACATAGCAGGACATTTTGTGTCTTATATGTATAGCTGATCGTAGAAGAATCAATTGAATGATTTTGCGTGCATCTACATCGCGGGAAAAATTGATGAATACGTCTTGCGCAGAAGGACGTACCCCAGATTGACCGATTTAAGTAGTTTGTTCATGCATGACGACTTTCCCGGGGCACTTTACTGTTGCGAAACAATGTTCTCCCTCCAGCTAACCTAGCAACGATGTTTCCACGGACTTCCTTCCGTGTAGCGTGTTTACTTTGAACGCAAAGTCAGAGTTTTCTTTTTCTTGCCAATACGGTCTTATAAATCATTTGTTTCTTCTTCGTGATGTGATTGTGGACTGTAAGTTACGACTCTGAGGTATTTTATGCTTTATCAGTTTCTGTTATGATATTTTCTTCCGCGCTCAGTATCGTAGTAAAAGTGAGGCAGCCTGACGTCAGGCTATGTTTCATAAACTACCCTGAGTCTGACTGGTTCAGGCTGACATCAGTCCGACATTACCCAAGTAGCATTTTTCAACGGAAAAATCGCTATGAATTGCGATTTTATTGGCGATCCAATCGCCAGGATTATCAACATCTGAGCGATTATCCTCGATCTCATCACGATAAAATCGCGATTCTATCGCCCGACAATTTATCGCGATATTTTCGAAATAAAAATCGATATAAATGGCGATTTAATCTCGATTTTATCGATGAAAATTTATCACGATTTTATCGAACCAAAAATTGCGATGTGTAGCGATTTAATCGCCATATAATCGCAAAAAATTGCGATGTGTAGCGATTTAATCGCCATATATCGCAATTTTTAATGTGATAATATCTCGATATATTGCCAACGATATAATCTCGATAACCGACCGATAAAATCATCGCGATCACTGCTACTTGGGTGAATGGAAAAAGTATACTTTTTCCATTTTATATTGAATGATCAGTTCAAATCACACCTTTGAAGTGTGTTTCTCGAGATATTGAGCGCACACCCACTGACAAACATCTATTCACTTTTAATTTTACATAGGGTTTTATAGAAGTAAAACTTTAAGTACATTTTACCTAATCTTATTGTATTACACTGAAAAAAAAACTCCGGCCGTGGGAGCCGCAATTACGAGCTATATAGACATTCCGTCCGTTCCGGGCTCAAGGGCCGAAAATCCCCGCTGCTGGAGCCGTAGCTTCGGCCTCTGAACCCGGAGCAATCGAAGCTACGCCTCCAGCAGCCGGAATTTTCGGCCTTTGAGCCCGGAACGGACGGTATGTCTATATAGCCTGTAATTGCGGCTCCCATGGCCGGATTTTTTTTTCAGTGTATCCTTTATACAAAATTTCGATGGGAGATCCAGGCTTCTTCTCGCATCAGATTTGTTTTCTACATGTAGACGCCAAGCGGCTGTTGGGCTTGGACCGCCTAGCGGCAGATTCCTGAATAAACTATTAATGTTTGATTTTTTCGATTTTCAGCACCGGGGGAGGAACGCAGAATAGTTTCCACTCGATGGCGAGAATGATGGACTCGCTGATCATAGATTCGTTTTCTCCGTTCGGGTTTACAAAAATCACAACCACGCACCGACCCATGCACGCTTCGCGCAGGTCAACGCAGCAAACACGTCAAAATCCCGTCAAACCGCAACATACCTACACTCAGACTCAAGGTGCGTTAAAAGCTCAATAATTCTGGAGAAATTCGTCTCCTTTAGGGAGAAACACAATGAGCGGCAAAATTTCATACACATACATAAAGTCGCTTTTATAGCGCCGCCTCGCGCTCTGCGACGCCCAATCGCCATTGCCCCCTATCCTCCCAGAGATCATCAGGCAATTGGCACCTTCTGATCTCCTCCTCCACCCCTTGTCGCCAACCTTTCACAGGACGTCCACGCCGTCGCCTTCCGGGAGGAACCCAATCGAAGACCTGCTTGGGCAACCGGTCGTCTGCCATCCTTCGCACATGTCCATACCAGACCAACTGCTTGGACCTGATATCGTGCACGATGTCCTTCTCTACACCCATGATCTCGCGTACTTTTACATTGCGGATACGCTCTCTTCTTGAGATGCCAGCAGACCTCCGCCAAAATTCCATCTCAGTTGCCCTGGCAAAATTTCAACAGGTGACAAAAAGAATCTGCTTCGCAAACGGATTTGAAGTGGTCGAAAGTTTACAGTTCAAATACAATTTTTCCAAGAGGAGTTGTGGAAAATCCTAATCCGATATTTTCAGGGTTGGTATGAAAATATCAGGTCACAAATGCAACTTTAGGTCCTCACAATAGTATATCAACTTATACTGATGGTCTTCATAGTAGTGTAATCTGAAACCGGCACGATCATGATAGGTCACTTGTTCAGTGGAGAATTGATTTGCCAGTGACATGAGATTGTTTAGTTTGCTCGGGACATTGGACGAACCCGCGCCCCTTCATTTTTTGGATATGCAACACGCATAGCCTGTAAGCTGAAATAGTTGCATCTAGGAGTTGGCGACGAGTGGTCGCCATTTCTAGGAGGAGAATTTAAAGCTGGCTTTATTTTCTATTTCCTGCCCTACTTATTCTTACTGACATATGTCGAGATATTAGAAAAGTATTGCTTTCCAATTGATGTCAACTCGCTATTTAAACCGCAGTATTCTTTTCATATCATGAAAAACTAGTCTAGATGGCTTTATTGAAAGCCACCGATGAAAAATGGGAAAACACATTTATGATTACCAACAAATAAAATAATCGTCATGGTGTTGAATCAACATGACGCTGAGGGATCATCAATACAGAGAGAGTCATTTTCTCTCCGGGGCAATTACTTGGTGCTCCGGAGAAAACTACTTTCTCTTCGGAACGATAGGTTAATGCTGGGAGGAGAAAATATTTTTCGCCAGAACACTAACTAATTGCTCCGGAGAGAAAATATTTTCTCTCCGGGAAAATAGTTAATGCTACAGGGAGAATTATTTTCTCTCCAAGACAATTACTTAGTGCTCCGGAGAAAACTGTTTTCTCTTCGGAACGATAAGTTATTGCTGGGAAGAGAAAATATTTTTTGCCAGAACACTAACCAATTGTTCTGGAGAGAAAACATATTTTATAGTATTTTACTGTATTTAAAAGTATTTTGGGGCTATGAAAGCTGAATCACCGATAGTAAATCCCGTTATATCGAGGTGGCTCTTCTTTCAGATTACGGTGCTCAGCCAAACAACGCAAAAGAGGACTTGAAAAAACCAACACATTCGCCAGATGCTACCAATGATCGGTGGGTTGCTTCTTTGCGGAGACGAGATCCTGAAATTCAACCAGTCTTGCCCGCTATTGGCAGTAGAAACAGGTAACCTCAAGTTAAATCATAAATTCGGATTCTTGCTCAGGGCCGGATTTAGGGGGTGGCCACATGGCGGCAAACTTCGGGGACGGAAAATTTTGAGATTTTTTCAAATGTAGGTATCAAGAAAAAAGTCTGATTCAGGAAAAAAATTACAAACTAGAAAAGGCGAAAAAATCTCTCATTTCCTGAGAGTTAAAGTATAGTAATTTCTAATGTGTGCGTCTTTCGACGATAAAAGAGACAGCGCCTTTCATTGGTCTAGGTGAGAGAGAAACCAAACATGCAATTTGGCCTAGAGCGGCGTGGCGCAGAGAGCAATGATGATGAGGACTTGAGATGGAAAGGAGAGGCCCTCGGCGCGCCGGTCAGCATGAAACACATATTCGCGCCGGTTAACGCTACATCCTCTCCACAGTTCATGGACACCACGAACAAAAATCTTAAATTAGTGTGTTCAAACTATCCACGTTCGTGGACAGTTTGAACACACTAATTTAAGATTTTTGTTCGTGGTGTCCATGAACTGTGGATAGAATGAAGCGTAATCATTAGCGCCTACAAGACTCCATGAGTACCTACTTCACGCATTGCTTCAAACGTAGTGCGGTCAGCAGCGGTTGGCATGAAACTCACAGTGCCTACAAGACTGCATGAATACTTCACGCATTGCGTCAAAAACAGTGCGGTCGGCATCGGTCGGCGTGAAACGCATAGCGCCTACAAGACTGTAGGGATACTTCACGCATTGCGCCAAACACAGTGCGGTTGGCGCGGTGGCGGAAATTAAAATCATTAAACTACATTCGCGTAAATTCTAGGTAAGAATATATGAGTACATTAAGTGTGAAACTCTCATCGAATTCCAGGCAAAGTCTTTGGAATCCTGACAAAATTTTTCTTTGAAATTCATGGAAAAAAATGGATTGCTGATTTAACAATGAAATTGTCAAAAAAAATATGGCCGACATGTTTCAAATGTACATTATTCACAGTAATGAAGCGCTACTTTAACCACGGGGGTGGTTAAATTAGCAATTTTATACTGTAAAATCTACACTGAAACATGCCGGGCATTTTTTTCAACTATAAAATTGTTGAATCAGCAATCCATGTTTTCCGTGAATTTCAAAGAAAAATTTTGTCAGGATTCCAAAGACTTTGTCTCGGATTCGATGAGAGTTTCGTACAAATTCTAAATATTATCTCCAAATACTTGGCGACCAAATTTTGTTGAACTATTTGATAAAAATTTAAAGGGAGTTTCTTTAGCTTATTGAGAGATTTGATAAGTATTTCATGGACACAAATATATTAAAAGTTTTTTAAGAATTTGATGAAAGTATGATTAGATTTTGACGAAAATTTGATCGAATTTTGATGAAACTTTGATTAGAGTGTCATGAGAATATGACATGAATTATAGACCTGCTGCGTAGCCAAATTTTGATGACATTTTTAAACCACAACATTGCCAAATCAGCAATATCATTTTTTCCATCTTCTATGTCCTCTTAGATCTCGATCCCACCCGAACGTCTCGAAGCGGCCGCGAATCAACAGCTCCCTGGACGGGCTGGCGGTGAGCGGGCGGAAGGAGCGAGAGAGGCGGGTCGTGAACATCCGGCCGATCGTGAAGAAGCTCCTGGCCGGCGCCGACGGGGAGAATCGGGACAAGGAGGCCGACGGCAGCGCCTCCCCCAAGGACTCCATCGCCGGATCGGCCGAGAAGGAGGACCAAAGGGTGTTCAACCCCTCCGGCTACGAGCTCCACCTCGTCGAGACACTCGAGAAGGACATCCTCCAGCGGCACCCCAACGTCCAGTGGAACAAGGTGGCCGGCCTCAACGAAGCCAAGGCCATCCTCCAGGAGGCCGTCGTTCTCCCCATGATCATGCCTGATTTCTTTAAGGTTCGTTCATCTCCACCAGCGGACTGATTATTGAATTCGATAGACAAAGCTATAGACAAAGAAGACATAGGGTGTATGGAGGGATCCTATTGGTGGAAGCGGGTGGTTGCAATGGACAAAGGCAGTAGGTAATAGACTAACCAAAGACAACTCACGAGAAACCCGACAGTTGGTCCATCATTTTCTCCCTTAGTCTATGGGAACCACACATTTCAACCAATAGGATCGCTCCATACTCCCTGTGTCCTTTTTGTCCATCGCTTTGTGTATTAATTTCAATGATCAACCCGCAGCGGGCTGATTATTGAAATTGATAGACAAAGCTACAAGCAAAGAAGACATGGGGTGTCTGGAACGATCCTCTTGGTTGAAATGTGTGGTTCTCATAGACTAAGGGAGAAAATGATGGACTAATAGCTGTCGGGTTCCTCGTGGATTGCCGTTAATTAGTCTATTACCTGCCTCTTTTGTCCATTGCAACTACCAGCTTCCACCAATAGGTTCCCTCCAGATCCGATTTGTCATCTATGTCTATAGCTTCGTCTATCAATTTCAATGATCGGCCCGCAGACGAGTTCTAGGCATAGGCATATCGTCACCTTCCGAGCAAAGTATCAAAAGCGCCGTGGGACGTTTCAAAATTTCCGCCGCCATTTTATTTTTTTTAACGAAACTGTCTGAAAATTCACTGAATTTTCATCGTGCTGCCGCTAAAATTCAGTGAAATTTTTAAACAGATTCAACCAACAATTTTTCTGTAAAAAAAAAAAATAAAAAATAAATAAAATGACGGCGGAAACGTCGCAAGGCGCTTGTGATACCTTGGCCGGAGGGTGACGATATAACACAATCTAGACCAGCGCATTAGGATCTTTTGCCGAGACGATAGGTAGGCAGCCCGGATTGCATGTAGTACCGGAAAATTCGAGGAATCAGAGGCGCCCGCGGGTAAGTACGAACTGTAAGTCGGGGAAAGTTTATAAAAAAATAACACAATTTTTGGACTCCTATCACAGACAATTTAAATGACATTGATTTTTTTAAATTTATTTTTTATTTTATTTTAAAGAATCTGCTAAAACTCAATAATAGGCGTATCGTGTACTTGAATTACATACTCTGATCAGTTTGTTTTAAGTTATCAACCTTGCAAAATAGTTGAAACAGGACTCATGGCGCAAGTTATTTTTGCCCTCTTAGTTTTTTGGGCCATGAGATCACCACTCAAAGTTTTGGAATATTCTTGAGTAATTATTTCACCAGCGAGGGTTGTCTTTTTCTTTTCTTCAGGGAATAAGGAGACCATGGAAAGGCGTATTGATGGTTGGCCCTCCGGGGACCGGGAAAACAATGCTCGCCAAAGCTGTCGCCACAGAGTGCGGCACCACCTTCTTCAACGTGTCCTCCTCCACACTAACCTCCAAGTACCGAGGTGAATCGGAAAAATTGGTGCGCCTTCTATTTGAAATGGTGAGTTAGCACAGACATGGACAGCATTTTATTATATAGATCAGCCCGCCATAACATTGTAAAGCGCCCGTTATTATGGGTTAAAGTAAGCACGCCTTCACTTCCATCGAAAGAAGAAATATGTAAGTGAGCGTTGCATTGCGAAACGCCTTCAATTTTTTGCGTATGCAACAATGGCATCCGTCGAGCTGGAATAGTTGTATCCAACCCCTGGGATCGACAATCGTCCATTCGTGCGTCCGCTTTGGTCGTGTTATGAACCCGACTGCTACGCTAAAGAAGAACACAGTGAGAGCCGTTGGACGATGCCAGATTTCCTTCGATAAATGGTATTTTCCTGGGAGACTTGTGAGTATCTGCAAAATCTAGGAATAGATACTCACAAATTTCTTAATCGGTAACTATTTTATGGGTGATTTTGAAACGTTTGAATATTTATACAAAAGTCTCCCCTAAGGGACGTGTCTTGACGTTTTGTCTTCTTGTTCCGGGTCTTTAATTTGCAAATATTGTGAGGTTGTAATTTTTCTTTCGACCTATCTTTTAAGCAAAATAGTTCGAACAAGGCAATTTTTAGACAGTTCAAATCAGTCATTAGAAAATGTCAAGCAAATTTCAAGAGGGCTCATCATGTTCAAAAAGGAAAATGTGTCGACGATGAAACTCCCAAACCACGTATTTCAGTTTGCGACGTTGCAGACTTCCCGTCATATTTTATTTTATCCATTGGAAAACTACTCAACGGTCATTCTTAAAAAATGTCGTGATTTTTCTACTCTGTGCGAGGACGATTCTGTGAAAACTTCAGAGAATCATGTCTATACCTTCTTATTTTAGAGAATAAGATTGGAGTGGAGATTTTAAAAACAGCAAACGAGATACGTGGTTTGGAGTTTCACCGTCGTTGTGTGTGGTTGACCAAAAGAGACGGAAACTTTTCTCTGCTAACGCTTTCTAGGAAAGGAGAACGCAAAGCGTGTAGTGAATGAAAAGCTTCTCCTGATTGTGAAACAAAGGAGACAAAGAACCTGGTGTACGCTCGTTTTTTGACGTCTGACAACTCAAGCAACTTCTGCAGCGCTGCGCTGCCGTGCTAGGGATGAACGTCGTATGAACATTCGAGAGTTGCCAAATTTCCCTTGATAAAACATGTATTTTTGACAACATTCATGCATATTTTTCATTGAAATTTTCAAATATTTTTGCGCACAATATTATCGCGTACAAAATTTTCGAAAATAATATTCGCAATTTTCCTAGTAATTTCGGTTTTCATCGGAAGAAACTTGGTAACCTCTGTAGGCTCATACAGCGTTCTTCCTTAGCACGGCAGAATACCAGGGTTGCCTCAGAACTTAGAAAATGAAATTCCCTGACATTTCTCGGATTTTCCTGACACATTTTGGTGAAATTCCCTGCCAATTGACGATATGCTAGATGGTAAAAAGACATAATTATATAATTAGTTTTCAGGCAAAATTTGTCGGTCTAAACTTCAAACCCGCGTTCTAAAAAAACAAATAAAGGCAATTTGATAATTATTCCCTGACATTTTCGTCATTTTCCCTGACCTTTCCCGGTTTTTCCTGACTTTTTAAAAGTCCCTGATGTTTACCAGTTTTCCCGGTACATCTGTAGGCTCATACGGCGTTCTTCATTAGCACGGTAGAGCGGAATAATCAAATGACTGATGTGGTTTCTTTTGTTGGTTGGCAGGCCCGTTTTTACGCTCCTAGCACAATTTTCATCGACGAAGTGGACTCGTTGTGTTCTCAAAGAGGAACGGATTCGGAGCATGAGGCCTCGAGACGATTCAAGGCGGAACTTCTTATTCACATGGATGGCCTCAACTCAGCAGGGTAACTACCATAAAATCATAGAAACCACCATACAGACATTCATTGGATGATTCAATTAAAAAAGCACGCTGCACGCATTTCTCATTCTGCACACTAAATTCTGTCTACAAGCCATTCAATTTTTCAATGGATTGGGGGGGGGGGAAGCCACCCCTAGCAGTGATTGGGTGAAACTGACGAGTGCTGTAACGCCCACATTTTTTAAATCGAGGTTCCTTAAAAATTCGACTGTTCTATTGTAACTGAACAGACTGATTCAGCTAAAGCAGCAAATTTTGTCTATTTTTAAATAACATGAGTTATGGGAGATATGGGTGGGGAGTGGGAAATAGCAGGTAAAAAAGGAAATTAATATTTCCGAAATTACAAAAATAGATACTTAATCTCACTGTAAAAGTCTTTTCTTGAGATATTACGTATTTTAACTTAGAGCGTTGTTTCTTGTAGACAAAATTTGGCTTTTTTTAATTAAATCAGTGCGATTTTAACTTTAAGTCAGTTTTTTTGAGTTAAAGAAACGTTACTCTGTTATCGTTTTTTAACCTAAACTTAACGATGACAAAACGACGCTTCTTGAACTCAAAAAAACTGATGTTGAGTTGAATCCGCACGGATTTAACTAAAAAAAGAAAAAAAAGAACCAAATTTTTTCTTGTTCGGAATTACTACCGACTCATTTTTTTCCTAATATTGTTGTCGAAAATCATAACGATTTTTTTCAAAATGGTCCAAATGGTTCATCACTCCAATATTGTACGTAAATAACTTATTTTTCTCAGGCTGGATTCTTCAACTATGGATTTTTTTTTTCTTTCTTTCTTTTTTTTCAGGGATGATAATAAAATAATAATGGTGCTAGCGGCAACAAATCACCCATGGGACATAGATGAGGCTTTCAGAAGACGATTTGAGAAGCGTGTTTATATTCCTTTACCTGACAGTAAGTTATATAAAAAATTAACTAACGTAGCTTTTGTAAGTTCTGGAAGTTGCTTGAAGTTCTCCTTCGTAGTTTCTTGAAGTTAGAGCGTTCTTTAGCAAAATCACCAACTGTTTCAACTCGCGTTGATGACGGCGGAGAGATACAACTATTCGTGCTTGATGGATGCCCGTGTTGCGTTTCCAAAATTGAAGGCGCGATGGCGCGAGGCTTCAACTCGCAATGCCCCACGCTATGTTGTCAATAAGATGTAGCTCAAATTCGGGAGAAAAGTCAGAAAACGAAGCCCGATTACGTCTCTCCGCCTATCCTCTGTTGTGTTGCCCATTGCTCTTGATGTACCTCTAAACAAACCGAACTAACACAATATGGAAATGGAGCAAGTGAAAGGGCCCGCTTTGATGACGGCGCAAAGATACAACTATTCGTGCTTGATGGATGCCCATGTTGCGTCTGCAAAATTGAAGGCGCCATGGCGCGAGGCGTCGCGTCGACTCGCAATGCTCCGCGCTATGCTGCCAATGAGGTGTCACTCATATTCGGGAGAAAAGTTAAAAAATGAGACCTGAGCACATCTCTCCTATCTCCTAGTATCTGTGTGGACACTCAATTTTTTCCTTTTTAAATTTTATGTGTTATTCTTATTTATGTGTATCTAAATTTCGCAAGTGGGTCACGTGTTTTTAGCAAGCTCTCGGTCAATTTGACCCGGCTTGGCATCTAAGGCGGGTTAAAAAAAAATGCTGCATGCATGATATCTACAAAAAGTGCGCTAAACCTTATGAGCTTAGTTTATAACCATCAAGCTCGCTGTTTCCACTGATCAAATTACAAAGCACAGCATGTCGACCGGTGCATTGACACAATAAATCTACCGAAAGAGAAAATGATTGTAGGAGCAGAGAGCGCCTCAAAGACGATCGGCTGATCAGGGTATTTCCTCTTTTTCTCCTCGACCAACTACCCTTGTTTACAGTTAGATTATATTGTTGCTTTCATATTTACTCTATTCAGATCAAACAAGACTGGCCTTGTTAAATCTTTGCATGGAAACTGTGACACTGGACCCGAACTTGGACTGCACGAAAGTTGCTGCCCAGCTTGATGGATACACCGGATCGGACATTGCCAACGTTTGTCGGTAAGATCCCTGAGTAAAGAGTACTAAAATTTGCGTTAAAGTCACTCTGAGACGAAATTCAATCCCAAATCAACAAGAGATGCAAGCGCGCGAAAAAATCACGTGCCTTGTATTTCCTCTTTCGGTAAACATAGATTTTAACGTGCGTCAGAATAAATACGTCATTTATGCTTCTTTAGCTCCCCGGTTGGTATGTTGTGGGTTGCGCGTGCAACAAAAATTGAGGGCGCACCAAAGGATGACGACACTTGCTAAAAGGTTCAAGCCAGTAGCCAGTGCTAACCATTAGGTAGCTGTATTTCTAATTATTTCTCTTCAAGGACTTCTCATCATTTTATTGTCTCCTCTCCTTTCTTTTCTTCTTTTTTCTTCTTCTTTATCCTTTCCCTTTTGCTACCGCGTCTTTTCTGCCTAACTACAAGTCTATGAAGGAGCTGAAACGATCCTTTGATCCCTCTCCTCTATTCTGCTAATAGAAACTATTAATAACTGAGTTCATGTGTAAATTTTCAGGGACGCAGCCATGATGTGTATGAGACGGAAGATCAGCGGTCAGTCGCCAGAGAAGATCAAGCAGATTAAGAAGTCGGACGTGGATCTACCAGTGACGGAGCAGGACTTCGAGGAGGCCATCGCGCGATGCAAGAAGAGCGTCAGCACCGCCGACGTCGCCAACTACGAGGCGTGGAGCAAAGAGTTCGGATCCTTCTAACATTCCATCAACCACCCTCAATCATCATCAGCTCCCCCGATTTTGAACTGATGCCGTGCGAAACGTAACCTCGTCAGGAAATGCCTCGTTGCTAGAAGAGCACCGGACTTCTGTGTCCTGACATGCTCGAACTGGTGTGCGATATATCGTATTGGTTCTGTTGAAAATCTGGGCAGATTTTGAATTTTTAGTCAGCAAAGAGACAAAATCCCTGCGTATGAGCTTAAAGAATCATTCTCGACGAAAATAAATGCAAAATTCTAAAAGATGAAGGGAGAATTCCTTTTGGAAAATAGCCTAGCTTTCGATACGGAGCCAGATTTCTGTAACTGTCGCAGGCAAAATTACCAATCGCCGGTAGTCTGCAAGCCACGAGTGAGTAAATAAAAAATCATGAAGTTCAGAAATAAGGGAACAATAATTAGGTAAGGAGTACTGCGATTATTTTGCAGTTATTGTGAATACACATTTCTTCTCCGTATAACATGGTCGTAACAACAGGCACACTAGGAGGATGTAATGAAATTCGAGACCTTGGTTGGGTTTGGACCGGATAGGCAACTAAAGTAACTCAGTAACAATGCGTAGAGTATCATATAAAATGAAGGCGCTTAAACCCGTGTTCGTGCCCCACCAAGCCCTCAATATGCCGATGCGCATTGTTGTGATTTCTCGGGACAACATGTAAGCCGCTTGCAAATTGCTGATTGTCTGCGTTTTATCGAACGCAAGGTTTTTCCTAAAAAATAATCCTGCTTTCGTTTTTTAATTATTCGTTGAGAATGACTCCTTGGGCTCATAGGCAGGGAATATCGGCCTTTTTTGGCCGAGATCAAAATCTGCCGAGCGATTTTTAACTTAATCGAAGCGATATATCGCACGCCAGTTCGACCATGCCAGAATCCGAGACTAATCACCCTACATCATTGATTGCGTCTGGATTTAACCCACAGTTGCTGTACGTGTGCTAGCTGCTCTAAAAAAGCTTGAAGAAGACAGCAGGTTGCCACACATTGCGATCACTCGGTAAAATTACTACAGCCATGAGTGTTGTGTAGGTTGCGTATCCACTAATTGAAGGGGTCTTTCAAAAGATCAGATATCCATTGCAGTAAAATCAAAGTAGGTTGCAATTTTTCTCTGCATTAGGAGTTGCTTACTTTTCTGACACGTATCCCCTCTTCACAGCCCACTTCCCGCCCACAACACAGTTGGTTCAATCACTGCCAGGAGGGACGAAATTGATTACGGCGTAATTGAAACTCGGTCAATCGGCCATGCCTTCTTGTTAAGTGTCTTTTTATGTATTGAGCAGTGCCTAGGGATGAATGGTGTACATTTTTATTTAGAGTCTTATGAAATAATTATTTGTTCCAAAATTTTTAAACTTTATATTCAAGTTGACTGATTTATTTTAATGTTCGCACTATGTACCAAACCCTTCAAAAGTCTGACATTCCAAATATGCACTGGGAACGGTGAAGAAAATACCAAAACTGCCGACAATGAAAGCAATTCTAAGCTGTAAGTTGCTTTTAAAAACAGGAACACTTACTTAGTCTCAAAAACTACGGGCTTGCAGCGGTTGCCTATACTTAAAATCAGGTATTCGGAGTGTATTGTCTTCATAATTTCGTAAAAAAATATACTACGGCTTGTAAGGATCTATTTTTATTTTTAGTAGTCACTTTGTTTAAAAGAATCAGCTCTGACGGCAGGACTGAACGGATACGGTTGTATGAATTTTGTAAAAAGTCAGTGAATGCATGTTATCAATTGAAGCAATTATTTTATAACCTTTGTACTTTAAATCATAAAAAAAATAAACTATCTTCCACGTGAGGAACTATGCAGAGTATTTTTTGTCCGTTTATTTGTTTCTCCAGACCACCGTTGACAGATTAGGCCATCCGCCACGGAACACAATGGAAAAGTCGAGCATGAAATTTTGGACTAAAACTGCTTTTGATGTTAATTTTGTCACATTATTTTATGATATGCCTTGAAAGGTAAATTTTGCGGACAAACCGATGAAATCACATGTAAACTTCTACATTTCATATTGACAAAGATATAAAAGCTTTTAAGTTTCCATTTTATGTCCGACTTTTCCGCTCTCCCACTGACTCGGCCCACCTGCGCTGCCGTGCTAAGGAAAAACGCCGTATGAACCTTCAGGCGTTGCCAAATTTCCATTTATATAACACGATTTTCCTGGTAAACATATGAATATTTCCCTTCCAATTTTTCAGATAATATATTGTTTGCAATTCCACCTAAAGCTCATGAAAATTGTAAGGAAAAACATTCATAACTTTCCTCAAAAAGAAACATTTTATTGAAGGAATTTGGCAACTCTCGAATTTTCATACGGAGTTTTTCCTTAGCACGGACGGGTGGCCGACCTATGGTGAAGTTACGTTCCCTTCAATTCAGAGGGTATGCAACTTGAGGTACCATCGTATCACGTATTTTAATTCCCGAGTTCAATATTTACTGTTAAATATAGAGCAGGCAGGGCGCGAAGGCAAGGAACTATATTACGATGGAGGGAAAAAATGTGTTGGAACTTGGAGCATCTAACGACTAAAAAAAAAAGGAAGCAAAATTATCTGAACTGTTTAAAATATTTGAAAATATCTGCTGGATTAATTCAGGGCTCGCTCCAAACATTTCTCCTGCAGAGAAAAGGGCTTATGAGCTTGAGAGAGTTCAGAAAAGTTAAACAGAGGTGAGGAATCGTCAAAAAAGTATAGGCTTTATATCATGTAATCAAAAGTGCTTACACAAATCATACCTACTTATTAACGGACAAAATAGCAGAAAAAAATATTCATCAAGAGTTAAGTGAGTGCCTAAATTTGTGTATTTGAACCGATTTCATTGGACAATGATTCCACTATGAATTCTCAATCTTTGGTACATTGCTCACTTCCGAACGAGGGTAAAATAAATAACCTACTTACATAAAATATTTCGGCTGTCTCCGTGGGTTTGGAAGAAACCTTAATTGTAATTGGTTATTTCTGCACCTAGATAACATACCGATGAGGCAAGTATTGTCGATATTTTTTAAGTTACCACCAGTATCCAGGGCCGGATTTATTTATTGGCCACCCATGGGCCGCCTATATTTTGCTGCCCCAGGGCCGCCTGTATTTTGGTGCCCCCTTCTCATTCGTTTTGAAACATCGATACAAACCATCAAGTGAACGTGCCAGAGGAGGAGAGGTGCATAAGACGTGTTTACTCGTGTTGGGCATATTTTTTGTGTCCTTTTGAAACGCCCTTTTTTTGAAAGCCCTGTCTACACTAGCAAAAGTTCACGGGACTTTGCGCGAAAATTAAGTTCCGTAAACATATCTTTGTGTCAACAAGACCTTTCATTTATAGGAAATGAAAGAATACTTGAACATGAATGTGGTTTAACGAGTTTAATTTCCGCCACCGCGCCGACCGCACTGTGTTTGGAGCAATGCGTGAAGTATCCCTACAGTCTTGTAGACGCTATGCGTTACACGCCGACCGCTGCTGACCGCACTGTTTTTAATGCAATGCGTGAAGTATTCATGGAGTCTTGTAGGCACTAACTTCATGCTGACTGGCGCGTCGAGGGCTTCTCCTTTTCATCTCCAGTCCCCGTCATCATTGCTCCCTGTGCCGCGCCGCTCCAGGCCAAATTGTACCGCGGCCCATGTGGCAGTGCCGCTACTGCAGTTTCGAGAGTTAAGGCCGTAGTTAAAGGGCGCTAAAGCCAGGGTTGTATTTCGTAAACGGATAGTTTTCGCAGAATAATTAAAAATTAAGAAGCAGGAGTAATTTAACTAAATAATAAAACGAAATAAAATTTACAATATAATGGAAAACAATTTGGAAAATCTCGTCATGTCAATACAGAAGATTCGAAAACGCCTTCAATTGAAGCGTGATACCTCACGCGTTCCGGAGAGTTCAAATAGTTGTATCCCTGCGCCTTAGCAAGGCGATAGAAGTTTAATATTGAAGTAGCGTCCCCGCTTGGTTTTTCGGCTTTCCTGTGCTGCTACGGCAGTTTCGACCGTTCAAGCCGTAGTTTAAGGGCGCTAAAGCCAGGCAGGGTTGTATTTCGCAAATGGATAGTTTTCGCAGGATAATTAAAGATTAAGAAGCAGGAGTAATTTCACTAAATAATAAAAGGAACTCAAATCTACAATATAATGCAAAAAAAATTGGAAAGTCTCGTCATGTAAATACAGAAGATTCGAAAACGCCTTCAATTGAAGCGTGATACCTCAAGCGTTCCGGAGAGTTCAAATAGTTGTATCCCTGCGCCTTAGCAAGGCGATGGAAGTTTAATATTGAAGTAGCGTCCCCGCTTGGTTTTTCGGCTTTCCTGTGCCGCTACGGCAGTTTCGAGAGTTAAGACCGTAGTGTAAGGGCGCTAAAGCCACGGTTTTATTTCGTAAACGGATAGTTTTCGCAGAATAATAAAAAATTTAGAAGCAGGAGGAATTTAACTAAATAGTAAAAAGAACTCAAATCTACAATTTAATTGAAAACAATTCGGATAATCTCGTCATGTAAAAACAGAAGATTTGAAAACGCCTTCAATTGAAGCGTGATACCTCACGCGTTCCGGAGAGTTTAAATAGTTGTATCCCTGCGCCTTAGCAAGGCGATGGAAGTTTAATATTGAAGTAGCGTCCCCGCTTGGCTTTTCGGCTTTCCTGTGCCGCTACGGCAGTTTCGAGAGTTAAGACCGTAGTGTAAGGGCGCTAAAGCCAGGGTTTTATTTTGTAAATGGATAGTTTTCGCAGAATAATTAAAAATTTAGAAGCAGGAGGAATTTAACTAAATAGTAAAAAGAACTCAAATCTACAATTTAATTGAAAACAATTCGGAAAATCTCGTCATGTAAATACAGAAGATTTGAAAACGCCTTCAATTGAAGCGTGATACCTCACGCGTTCCGGAGAGTTCAAATAGTTGTATCCCTGCGCCTTAGCAAGGCGATGGAAGTTTAATATTGAAGTAGGTATCGTCCCCGCTTGGTTTTTCGGCTTTCTTGTGCCGCTACGGCAGTTTCGACAGTTCAAGCCGTAGTTTAAGGGCGCTAAAGTCAGGGTTGACTTTGGTAAATGGATAGTTTTCGCAGAATAATTAAAAATTAAGAAGCAGGAGTAATTTTAGTAAATAGTAAAACGAACTCAAATCTATAATAAAATGGATAACAATTTGGAAAATCTCGTCATGTCAATACAGAAGATTCGAAAACGCCTTCAATTGAAGCGTGATACCTCACGCGTTCCGGAGAGTTCAAATAGTTGAATCCCTGCGCCTTAGCAAGGCGATAGAAGTTTAATATTGAAGTAGCGTCCCCGCTTGGTTTTTCGGCTTTCCTGTGCTGCTACGGCAGTTTCGACCGTTCAAGCCGTAGTTTAAGGGCGCTAAAGCCAGGCAGGGTTGTATTTCGCAAATGGATAGTTTTCGCAGGATAATTAAAGATTAAGAAGCAGGAGTAATTTAACTAAATAATAAAAGGAACTCAAATCTACAATATAATGCAAAAAAAATTGGAAATTCTCGTCATGTAAATACAGAAGATTCGAAAACGCCTTCAATTGAAGCGTGATACCTCACGCGTTCCGGAGAGTTCAAATAGTTGTATCTCTCCGCCTTAGCAATGCCTCGGAAGTTTAATATTGAAGCAGCGTCCCCGCTTGGTTTTCCGGCTTTCCTGTGCCGATGTGGCCAACCATAATACGGCCCTGCAGTATCTTACTGAGGTATTTTAATAATTTAATGATTTGTAGACAAGACTTACAAAATAAAAAAAATATATTATAAAATAAAATCCTATTAAGTATCATGTCTACTGATACCTATTGAGGGCAAGACTGTCGAAACATTTTCTTAATTTCGTACACATTTTTGCATTGATGAGTCAATGTTCGGAATGTTCTAACACATCCTTAAAAAACACAACCAAAAGACTGGGACTTAGCTGGAGCATTATTTTGAACTCGCATGACCTGAATGTTGGAAGTTGCCATCTTGCGAATTGTATTTTACATACATCGAAACTGCTGATGCAATGCATTTCAAAACGCACCAGTAGAAAGAAATGAGCATTTTTATAGCGGCACAAAGGTGTTAATTTTATTGAAAGGAAAGACAAATGATAAAAGAGGAGATGAAAACCAAGAAAATTTAATCAACAGAAACTCATTTGAATAATATGCACTTAATGAAAATATTTTAACAATCCATGGGATAAAACACATTATTACAGAGACACTTCATTAAAATACTACTTGTGTAAACTCACTACAAAGTAGTATACTTGATTGGTGTATCAAAATTTGGTTCTATCAAATAAAAAAGTTCATATTTACCAGGAGTGTTAGGTAATTAAGAAACGAAACAAGAAATATCACCAAACTTTTCCTTAATTTAGAAAAAAGTAAAGTTCCTGATCATCAGAAAATTTTTCGGATAGAAAATTCTGTTTAGTTCAAAGCTTACTGTGACGAAGATTAAAAAATTATCTTTGTCATGGACTCTTTAGAAGAATAAAGTTTCAACAGTCACTTATAATACGCAATCATCAAGCATTAAAGCATCAGTTTTCGTTGAAAGAACAGAGGAAACGTGCATATGATGGGATAAGTAAAAATTTTTCTTTCAATTCACAAGTTAGGAGAGAACTTAACAATTCTTTGAAAATCTTACACCGTTTTCATTTCGAAATTAGTCAAAAATATTCTTAAAGTAGAAAAACTACACAGGTACTGTAAACGCACAAAATATTAAATATTTTTCAATTTTAGATATAATCCTAGATCTTTTTCTGAACGTTTTCAACTGATAGAATGTACTCAAAGATAAAGTTTCCAATTGCCTGACTCTCTTTTACTGAGGAGTTAATGGCTATAAAAAGTAAAATTTTAGGATGTAAAGAAAGAACAAAACCTTGTCTTTAAACGATTCCTTTGGGTTTCATGAAAAAGATTTACGAGGAGACTGTTTTGAGAGCCAGACTCATCCTCAGCATTTTTTAAAATTTAGTATAGGTCAATAAATATTGGGCAAAAAATTTAAAAAAATGTCTATACAAAGGCAAGTTCACAGAAGTGTATTTGTACAGGGCAAATACAGACTTTTTTATGTTTTACTGATGCAAGTTCATTTCAAACGCATAGGTTGCGTTTTCATTTTTTGGATGTCTAATCGAATTCTTTGAAATATTTGCATGTTTGTTCAAAAATAAATTGGAAACAGAGTGGGATTGAAATGGTAAAAAGGCATAAGAAGAAAAAAACAATGAATACTTTAAAGGTTAGAGTTTAAAGGAAAATATACATGTCATTTTTTGGGGCTACAAATGACCACAATGTTAATTGCGCAGTCAAAATTTATCAAGTTTTACATAAAAATCATTCACATTGATTTACCTAAGACTCCAAAGGAGCAACTAGCATTTATCTCAAAGAGATAATTTGAGTCAGTACCTATTATTAGAAATTAGGAACACTTTTGTGCGTAAAAAAGTACTGTCAGATCTTAGTTCATTTATTACTGACAAAAACGACCCAATAGCCGATGAATTAAGTACATGTTATAATGATTCATGCTTGATAAAAAATAGCTATTGCCTTACATAATACCCATATGCCTAGGAATTTGAAAAAATGACTAATTTGATTATTGGCCTAAGACATGAATATGATTATGTACATACTTTCAATCGACAATGTCCAGGCTTTCAGTATTTCAATCTTTATTAAACATGTTCTTTAATGGGATAAAAATTGTCGAATATCAAAGGACCATTTCCGATTCAGCAATTTTAACAGAGAGACTGGTTCACCACTAAGAGAGAAAAACTAAAAATGTTTGGGTGATGAAAATCTGTATTGAATAACCATTTTCTTTCGCTGATATTGTTTCTCCTGGACATAGCACACTCCTAGTGAGGTCCATGGTGACTGATGTTAGATGTAAAATTATAAATTGTTATTATATTGGTTTAATAATAACCCTTACTGCTGTTTGGGACACATCATGCATTATAGAACTGCTATTTCTAGCTCATCCACAACGGCACCTATCTGCAAGGGAAAACTAATGGCACATAAGTTGTTTCTGAAATGAACCAAAAATAGTTGTTCTTTATTGCAGAATTAGGTCCATCTGTCAGCAGCTAACATTTAGCATTTAGATCTTGGTTCACACCTTGATCAAGGTGAGTGAATTTGTGAACAGTAATTGCACATAATGGAAGAATTTTTCAGTCGTCTGAAGTCAAGAGAAGTTCTCAAATTGAAAAACAAATTAAAATTCCAAGTGGATTTTACTCCCACTGCATACTGGTATCCACAGAAAAAAGTACAAAAATCTGTCTTACAAAATTTGTCAACAATTAACTGAACTCATTATTTTAGTAACAGAGACAACTGAACACAAATTTGGTAAGTTAATAAGTATTTTGTTGGAAAAAAAGAGAAAAAAAAGAAAAACAACAACAAGTTCAGACTACTTCCTATTGAGCTTTTTTGGTGCCTCTCGATGTCCAGGCTGTGAGAAGATTTCTTGCAAAAAAGAGAGAGAACAAGTGAACTTGTAGAGCTAGAAGAATAAACGCGTACCAGAGAAGTCCATATGGGTACCCCTGTAAAAGTGGTAAAATGAAAAGTTAGGATCAAGTAACTTTCAGATGAATTACTGAGTATCCAAATAAATGTTGCAGTTTCAAAATATTTTGCTGACAACTTCAATTTTAACCAAAAACAGAATGATTACATCCAAGAGCACATTGCAGCTGTCTACATATTTCTAAAAAGCTTTTCAGAAAACCCTTAAAGTAAATACAAAAAATAATTTATCTAATTAATTGAATGTAATTTTTTTCTTCAGGATGCATAATTTTAACTTTCATCAAAAGGATTTTAAAAAAAAACAGCTTGATGTACTACTAAAAGTGATGGTTCCATTTTTCCGTAGAATTAAAAGAAAAACCAGAATTTTATCACAATTTGTCAGTCCATTTGTTCTTCTGTCCAAATCTTCAATGCATACATACGCTCTTATGACTCTCATAAACTAAAAGTAGTATTTTGGATAGATGAGCAACCTATTTCTTGAGATACTAGCTGAAATGCTTGTCAGTGCTGACTCAAATAACAAGTTCTCCACTCAATTTGACAAAAACTGGCTATCTTGTAAGAGTTTCAATACTGAGACTGGGGAAAAAATAATAGGAGCATCTAGATGTTGCCAAATATCTGCTGTTATAAATGAAAGTGCCGAGAATATCTTTTCAATCGAAATGTTCAAAGAATTTTTATTGTAATTTACTTCAGTGCAACTAAAAATTCGAACGAAAAGTTTTTCTATCTCCTCTTAAAAATAAATACTATAGCAATCGACATTTGACAATGTTTGAATGTTCATTCAGCATTTTTCCTGGGCACAGCAAAATTAAAAAGAAGGTAACATTTGTTCTTTAGGAATATTACCTGCCAAGTTTCAATGTGTTTTGTGTCTCCTCTATTGACGTACGCCCAGACATCCGAAAAATAGTAAATTATGGCATATAGCAAAGGACAAAATCCAAAAACACCTATACCCATCATGTAGCGCTCCATCATTTTGATTTTGTTTTTCTTCACAGCCGACAGCCCTAGAAATGAGAGGAGTAGACTTATACACCAAGTGTACTCCCACCATAATGGCTGAAATAATAAAATGAACAAAACTATTAGCTGATTCTATAAGAAACCACGAGTTCAGTAAAAAGATTGAGGTCTCAAATTTTAAATGAAGTATTTAGTGACGGATGCAATACTCTGATTATACCCAATATAAAGACGGTAATTTTGGAAAAGAATCGCAGGGATAAGCTTTACAACTCTAGCAAGGGTAATACTGTCAATCAGGTTAGTAGTATTTTTAATTTTGGGATGGCGTCACAAACCGTTTTGACTCAGCTCCAACCTCGGTGTCTTTCTGAGTGAGAAATGAGTTCAAAGGGTAATAAGTACAAGATCCTTTAATTCAGTTTGCAATGTTGCAAATTATGTCATACTTTGTACTGAATTGTTTAAATCAGGAATTTGTTTTCAATGTGTAGAATTTCATAAAACTTTGTAATTTTGCCTATCTGAAAACAGTTTCAAGCAAAATACTTTTTGGTAACCTTTTTTTGGAAAAGTAAAATCAGGAAAGAAATTCTGAGACATCACTATTCAGAGAGAGATGATTTTTCAGTCGCACCACCAATGTCATGCTCAACTCCAATGACCCTTTTTGATTCCACCCTAAGAACTTCCAAGTAAATGGCTGATGCAAATGAAAGTACTCACTTTGGGTATTTCCAGTTCTTCTATTTCAAGGATGAAAATATCTAATTTATCTAAAATATCTGCTGACAGTTTTGCTAGCATGACAAAGAATAAAAGATAATGGAAAAATATACACCATTTCAATCTTGACTTGTTTTGAGCACTGAAACAGAAAGAAAATAAGTATGCTTCATGAGACAATACTCAATTGAGCTACAATTGATTACGGTACGTAAATTAGAAGAAAAAAATTTTAGGTTTAATTTTTTTTTAGAAAAGAAATCATAGGCCCTCATCAGTCAAAAATATTTCATGATAAACACATTTGCAAAAAGTTTGTTTGCTTTCGTATTCACCCACATGATAGGGAAGTGTTTGCCATGTTGGTATTCTTTAATATTATAACTTTTTTTTTTTTACTTTTCAAAAGAATCTATTCAATCTAAAGGACTACAAAGAGAATACCTACCAAGAAATTCAGCGCTTGCTAAATTTTAAGATTATTAGATGTGATGTTCCTGACACTCTCCAGAGTAACATGAGCTTCTAAAATTGAATTTCGAAAAAAATGGGTCTAAGAAGTGCATTATTTAGCTGTTTGATATGCATAATCAAGTATAAAAATGTAGATGATAGAAACGCGAGCAAGATAAGATAGTGCCAAATTTCTTAGCATTTTGTATTTACTCAGTCTTTTGATCTGAGCTCTAGAACTGGAATGCCCCATTGATCGATTATTTTCGATCATGAATGTCTGTTACAAAGAAAATAAGGGGGATAGTTCCTCTTCAGCTCTAATAAATGACAGCAATGAGGTTGAAGAAATGCTACAGCGTAAAGGTTGCGTTATCTGGTAGTCTCCGCTTAGCAAATATCAAATGGTCTTGAAATCTCCTTAAGAGTAAAAAGTCAAACTCATGAGCTGGGTAAGACGCTTTTTTAAACTTCGTCAATTCCCTGGATACAAGCAGTAGACAGATGTGCTGATAAAAGAACACCATTTCATCAATATTTGTAAGACCTTAAGTAAGGATAAGGGTTGCGGGCACATCATTCAAAACTGACTGGTGTTCCTGATCCACATCATTATTCTATATGCCAAAATAAACTGAAAATTACATCGCTGACTTCAAGGCTCGTATACTAGTGTGGATTCTGGCCGTACCTAGCACACAGAAACGCAATAGCACTGAGCTGAGAGACACATGTTACCTCGCTGCATGTGATAACCAATGAGTATCATCCGCATGGGCACCATGTACTGCAAAAGTATTGGGGTGCTAGATGAATGAGGGCAGACGATAATAAAAAGAAAGATGGTCTCACCTAATTTGGTACTGAGCAGCTACTCGCTGCCTGTGAGCAAAATCTGCACCATCAGTGCCAACTACGTACGGTCCTCCTCTTGAAGCCATCACTAATTAAAACTTAGGAAAAAAGATTAATTTTGAAAACTAAAGAAAGGATGTGCTGAAAGGGTGACCACTGAGAATGGAGATGAAGGGAAGAGGATGGTGCATTTAAAATTTCATAACATCAATCATTATAAAATATCTTATTTAAACTAATAATTCAACAGAACATCCGCATCTTATCACTAGAAAACACACACAAAAATAAAGAATACCGAGGAAATAATCAGCGAGGTAATAAAAATTGACTGTTCCACATCCACATCCACAGTGTTTTGATTTTAGGTTAGGTGTAGGCCGTGTAGGTTAAGGTGCGTTCACACTGACACTGTTCGCATGAGATGTTAGACTGCTGAAGTGCCAAACCACCAAACGGCTTGCTTGTTTGTTGGAAGTTGGCTACATAAGGCAGTCGTTTGGATTTTCATTTAGATCTTGCAAGACAATTGAAGAAGATTTCTTCTCCTTTCAATCTAATTCATATGCTTTAAACCAAACGAGTGCTATAAGAAAAAAATGACTGCTATTATCCCGCGAACCGCTCAAAGAAAGTCTCAGTGCGGAAAGGGTTGAGGTAACCTTTCTGCTTTTACAGGGTCGCAGAACACCCAACCAAACATAGTCTATGGGTAATCTAATACACCCAATAATATAAGTATGTAAGAGGAGCTGACAGCGTTGAAATGTTAGGGAGGTAAATATCTCTGAAGCGCATGAATTGAGATAGCCCATGAATCGCCTTCAAAAGAGTGGGTATGCAATTGCGCGACGGCAGAGTTCGAATATTTATCGCTCAAACTACAGTCAGGCGCCGATTGAGATTCTTGCTTGAATGGTAACTTTTTCTCGCTACAATCTTACATTTGGATCGCGTTAAGCAGAAAGGAACCAAGCCACATCAGCTTTGACAAATTTAACAGACTAATTTAATTTTTCAAAGTAGAACGACTGTACGGATTTCTTTGAAATTTTTGAGGAATTTGCTTTGTACTCTGCAAAAAATTTACCGACATTTTCAGAAAAATTCGCACAACCATTTTCATGTAAAAAATTAAATTGCCCATGTAAATTTGGCAATAGGTGATGTGGCTTGGTTCCTTTCTGCTTAACGTTGTCCATTTATCACTAAAGCCTCATGTAGGATTGAAGCACGTTCAGAGAATGCTAGAGATTCGTCTGCAAAAATTTCTCAAAAATATTTTGATTTCCATAGTATATCTCAATCCCATTGCAAAATCGTAATATTTTGATTAAATCGACAACAGCCTGACATGCGGCTGTAACAATCGTTCATTATTCCCTTCGCGTGCAATCTTGCGTATGATGAAATGTGTCCAATGCAGCCAAGAATTTTCTCTGACAAGCCGCAAGAATGGGAGACAAGACAAAGTGCACCATTCTCAGCTGGCTAAGTGCCAGTTTCTCGTCTCAACTCATCGGCACTTTGACAGGATTCCAAACAATTTTTTTAAAGTTTTATTTGTTTATGCGTACCTAATAACATGTGCACCTATGTCGATGACAGCCCTGGAAACTCTCGTTCAATCGTAGCAGCATTTCAAAACTGCAACGCTATTTCATTTTTTACATACAATAGAAAAAAAATTCCTTCGAATTTTCACAGAAGTTCACGCAAAAGAAAAAATCAAAATGTTTCATTAATTAAAGTTTTCGTAAGAAAAGCGAAAAAAAAAAAAAAATTTATTACAATTTATTTGTTTTTCATTTATAGATAATACCATCACCCACGGTCAAGCGTGCAAAACCTTTTTGATCACCGGAAAAGTGGGTTGGAGGGAAACTTTATAAGATTTTCCGTTTTTACAGCGTTTTAGTGTCGAGGAGGTCCAGGCAGTAAGAAGTTTTCCTACAAAAATTGATGGTTTCTTGAAATTAGGCGTAGATTTTAGGGATTCTATATAGGACCAGTTTCAGGTAACTTTATTTGCTTGTGCTTTGCACACAGCAATAAGTTTACAAGTAGATGTAAAAGACTTCAGTTGAAATTATTAGTTTTGCCTTCAATATCAAGATAAGCAACGGCGGTTACACATACGTTTACACAGGGCTGGGCAGACAGCATAATAAAATAAGTTTTCAGTTAATTTCGCTTCTTGATAGTTTCTGTGGAAACCACTGCAATTTTTAGAGAGCATAATATGTGGGAAGGCACCCATAATTTAAAAAAATGAAATGAGGGGGAGAAAGAACGGATTTATGACTCACGCTATACCTGCGTAGGAGGGACGGGTAGACGGGATGACGACAAAGTTTCGATTTTTCCCCGTAGATGTGACGTCAGTAGAAAGCTTTTACCGTACGGTAGTTAGAAAATACCGTACATGCCCAGTTCAGCTGATAATACCTTCCCCCTCCCTTCTTCCCCTTTCATGTCTTCTTATCGTTTGATTGGTGGTAAAACAAACAAACGTCTGGTCGTTCTCACCTGTCTGTTAAAATTAATATTGTGAAATTTCTGTTTACCGCAGTGATTGTGAATAGTGAACCCCAATCATCAAGATGGCTTTGAAAACGCTCGTCGGGCAAAGTAAGAAACTTTTTCCTCCGTTCCTCTGTATCTTGTATCCAAGTTGATGGTTAGAACTCTGCCCTAGTTGCTCATCCCTTATCATTCATGGCAACTTCTCATTATTTAGTCTCACTACTTCTTTTTTCATTGAATCAATGTGAATCATGGTATAAATACGGCTGATACGAAGTGTGTCTGAATGGTATTTTAAATCTGCATTCATGTAGGTCAGGTTTTCTCTACTCTGCTTACGGACCTAGTTTGACGGACAACCTGTCTCTATCGTAAGCTTCAAAGAGAATCTTACTTAACTGGAGAGCAAAGCACACAAACTCAACCACATATATGTTGAGGGGTTTGATGTATGGCCTCTTTCGGATGAGTTTGTGAATTGTTGGTTGAAATTAAAGGGCTGTTACATAGCTTGCGCTGTTTTCAAAGGACCAACGTCAAGGAGAATCAAAGCAAGCACTTAGATAGTGTCCTATTGTAGAAACAGATCGGGTTTTATAAGGCCCTAATGGTTGCTCAATCAATGTTGAAGTAAGTACAAGAAGGAGAGTATTGGGATATCTAGTAGGTTTCCCTTCTAAACTAAGTATGTAAGATTTTACCTTGCAAAAACTACGTGAAGTGAACTTTTAACCACTGATAGGCTGACACAATCGTTAAATCTTCATAATTCCAACCTTACTGCAGATTAGGTGTAGGAGTATTACCTATACTCTTTGCACACAAACAATTTTGAATGCGTGACCCATGAGCTGTGGTCCATTTTCAGTTTTTAAACATGGAAACTGTATATCGACAGTGTAAGTCCGCAACAACGTATCTTGTTTGTGGTGACCGAAAATCTCCGCCTCGATATTATTTGGTTAAAGGAGAACAAATCGATATCATTCCTTATTGTCTTTGCTCAGAGGAGAAAAATCACGGCAGTTTTAAAGAATTCCCATTGAGTAGTTTTCCGTTTAAAAAATGAAGTATGACAGGAAGTCTAAATGACAATGCCGAGATACGAAGTTGCGGACTAACACTGTCTATATCTTGGTTTGCTACATTCAATCAGAAAACTTTTTTCAATTTTTGAAAAAGGTGAAGATTTTTTTTTCTCTTTGAAAAATAGTCAGTGAGTAATGAAGTTCACTTGCATTCCGACAAAAATTTAAAATGAGACTACACTCATAATATACAGTTTTCAAGATTGGTCATCGATTTGTGGGATATATGCTCAGTTTTAAATACTCAAAAGACTGCAAAGATCTATCTCAATTTTTCTAGCCGTATTGCATCGGTCTTTCATCATCATATCCATGGTGAAAGCACCGAATTAGGTATCTCGGTTCTCAATTCGCAAATCTCTCGATATGTTTCAGTTTTCTAATGATGACAAGATTCATATTGTCACACAATTTTTGAACACTCTCCTTTATTCTTTCAGCATTTTCCAGGTGCCCGCTTGAGGGGAAAAATGTTACACTATGACATAGCTGAAAGGAATCGAGTTGCATCAGCCATCTCCAAAGTTCATCAGATGATCTAATTTTTAATGGAGAACAATAGTGCAGACTCTTTTAAAACTGTCTGAGAATTTCCTGTGACATTATGCAAATTTTCTGAAATTTCCAAAGGAATCTGCTCTCCTGTAAAAGCATAAAACGGACCGCATTTAGGAGAAAGGAACCAAACCACATCCGCTCTTGCCAATTTTAATGAGGCAATTTAATTTTTTTCAAGAGAACGTTTCAGCGAATTTCGAAAATTTTCCGATATTTGCCTCGTACTTGGCAAAAAAAATCCGCACAACCGTATTCATGCAAAAAATTATATTGTCTGATTAAATTTGGCAATAGCTGATGTGGCTTGGTTCCTTTCTGCCTTTCTGCTTAACACAGTCCAATTGTTCAATGAAATTTGGCAGTGGCTGATGCTGATATTACTTGGATCCTCTCTGCTTATTGCAGTCCATTTTTTATCTCATCTATAAGAATAGTTACTCCTACCTAAAATATAGAGAGTCTACAAACAATGTCTAGGATGTGAGAATTTGGTTTAATGTTTGTTTATAATTTTTAGCCATATGGTGTGACTAGACTCAAAATGATTTTCCTCATTTTCAATCATTCTGTTTTGATTTTCAATTATTTCAAAGTTTTTCCAAGGGGCTTTATTAGTCCTCTAACAATTATTTTTCTAGAAATCTTGCTATAATTCTAATGAAATACGTATACTTAACTATGAAATACAATTTTTCCACACTCTTTTAATCGAAAGTTCAACAGCACAAACAACCTCTCAAATTTTTCTACCTACAAAAATAAATGCTTGGTCCTCAAACATTTTTTGTTGGATTGATTTAAGTGTGAAGTTTCAGAAATTTAAGACAGTTTTTGTGATCATAAGTTCCAGAGTGATTTATGACTTTTTACACTGTTCACTGTAAAAGACAAGATGTCACTTTCATTTCATCAGAGTCAACTCTTGATTTTCACAGAAAGCAGTAACAAAAAATCTCTTGCAAATATATTCTTTCAAGCCTGAATTCTCAATTTCTCTTAAAAAGTTGCTGCTTTTAAGAACTATTACGCCTCTTCAGAGTATTAAGTACTCCACACCTTAAAGTAGATGATGTTAATGAAAGCAAAAAGAATCATCAAAAATGACCTCTGCCTCAGATAAGATCTAGGTGGCTACATATTGAATGATAAAAATATGGAAGGTGAAAATCACAAAGTTTATTTCAACTAAAATGTACAATAAAATTGGTGGCCTTTAAACAGTGCTCTTGAGAAGTGATAAAATTACTTAAGAAACTCTCCCTTCTTCAGGATTTATCTCACTGCCCAGGCTTTAAACTTGGATCATTTTAAGCCAAATCTTCTTTACAAAATCAAAATTTATGAAACAACTTTCGTCAAACAAACTCTGTGAATAGTTGTGTAGTTCTAGCTTGGTCTACAGGTAGAAGTAGATATGTAACTAATTGTTGAATATCTACTGAAATTGCCTGATCTCACATCAATGGTCAAAGTGCAAAACCATGTATCTCCATTACGATGTTTCTAAATGTCTGTTCCTTTTTTAAGATAAACAAGCCAACGTTATAGTTTGAAATTCTTGCAGAATACTCTGTTAGCATAGAGATAAATTCAGGAAGCCTTCAAGAAATTATGTTGCCTTAGTTTATCAATGAAAAAATATAAAAGGACAGCAACTACATCATCGCAAAGGGAGTTACCTGGTTTTGCACTTTGGCCATCGATATTCAGAAAATTCAATATTAGATAGGAAATTGGAATATGTGTAAATAAGCAGACATTTTTTCAAATTAACACAATAGTCCCTAAAAGAAGTCCACCTTTGAACGATATACACAATTTGCCGTACGAAGGTCCTACAGCTTGATTTATCTCATTGATACACTTTCATTGAGACTTCATCTTTTTGTTTGAAGGTTCATCCTCGTTTTCCTCTCCTTCCTCACTTCGGAAAATAGGTTTGGGCTGCGTCTGTGAATAAGCAGGTGCAACCCAGTATGGATTTTCAGCAGCCTCTTTTGCATACTTTAAAATTGCCTCCCTAGGATCTTGATCATCCTCCACCTTTTTACTCAAACCTAAATTTCGAATAACATATGAGCTGAGAGTGCTTCCACTTGCAGCGACTCGACCGCCTTGACCAGATTTGATCGGCAAATCCGGACGATGAGATTTAATAGGATCCAGTCTGTCTTTTTCCATCTTCTTACGCATAGATTTTGACCGCTCTTGTTTGAAGGCAGGTAACGCATGAGGTGTAATAATCTGTGTTGCTGCAACCACTTCAACCTGCTTCGTCTTGGTCCGAACTTTCCCTGCGCATAGTTTCGCTCCTCGCATACTTTTGGCTTCATCATAGAATACTTTGACAATACCATTTCCGCAACTGACGAAAATTTGATGTAACCGTGGATGCCACACTGTTTTAATCACATGGGCGTCCGCCACTATAATTTCTTTGACTGTCTCAAACGTTGTAGTATCGAAGAAGTAGAGTTTTCCTTCAGTTTCACCCTTGTTCAATGAAACTCCTGTTGTTAAAACTGTATCGTCAGGACTGAATGCGCAATCTGTGCTGCCATATCGGGAGAACAAATCATGTTTAACTTGCAAAGGTTTTTTAAATGCCCGCAAGTCCCAAAGTTTCACAGTATCGTCTCCACCTCGTGATGCTATCCAGTTGTGCAAGTAAGCAAAAGCGACACAGGATGTTTCACTTCCTTGTTGATGAGCTTCACGATTATGTAATGTTGGACTTGTGATGATTCTCCTTGGATCCCATAGCTGAATTGAACCGTCAACGCATGCCGCAGCCACTAAACTGGCATCACGATTGTAATTACATGCGGTGGGGTTTGTTTTTAGTCCATTTTTCGACCGACATTTGATTATCTTGAGGTGGTTGTAAGGCTTATCTACTGTCCAGATTCGACAAGTTCCATCTTCAGCACTGGTCAAGAATTCTTCTCGATTGCGAGGATGCCAACAACCAGAAGTCAGAGGTGCTGTGTGTCCTTTAGTTCGCGCCATATCCACAACGTATTGGTCACCTTTCACACACTCCATTATTTCATGGCCATCTCTGTCTAGCACTTTAGCTTGTGCCATTCCTGACACTATTAGAACAGAATCACCAGTCGCTGTGTAAGCTATGGCTTTGATTGGATTATTTCCGCATGGGTAAAGTGAACGGAAACTTTGCAATGTGTTGTCCATTCCAGCAAAGTCCCAGAATTTCACTTGGTAATCGACTGACCCCGAGGCAAGTCTAGCCCCAGCAGGGTCTATAGCCAAAGCGGCGACTGCTTTTGAGCCATGATTCAAAGATATATTCAATTCTGTTGGGATAACCAGTTTCGTTTCCTCTTCACCCTCATCATCACTAACATCACTGTCACTATCACTGTCTTTTTTGTCCTGTTCATTTATTTTCAAGGTTTCCAAACCACTGTCTCCGATTTCCGACATTGCTTCTCTCAATTATAGTATTATTATCACTGTAATTAAAATTTACTCTACTGAAAAATCGATGAACGTTTGGTAAAACGGCAGATCTGCACTGGTGTTTGTTTACAAATGAGCATAACCTACATTTGTTATGGATTAGCAGGGCTACCGCTACTTCAAAGCTGAATTTTTATCGAGACGTAATTACCGTATCCATCGTACCGTATTATTGTACGCTGCATCTGCCACCATTCCACACACGTAGCACAAATTGCATTCCATAAGGGGCGTCGAGACTTCGACACGACTATTTGTCATGTTTTCGAAAAATTATCCGTTTTCCATTATTTTTTTTATTTTATTTTATTTTTTTCACCACCCTATTTATGAGTAGTTTTTATATGTGATCGTCTACGGGAAAAGGGCTAGCTTGATAGGTACTTCCATAGTATCTGAGCAAATGACCATTATTTGGTTTGAAATTTTTGGGAAAGTGCTTCATTCCCAAAATGTCCTTGAAGTACTCCTGTCTCGAGTTCAAATTACTCAATTTTGAGTTTATGTGGATGAAGGTCCTCTTCTCCGCGGGTGGTCACAACATAATAAGTGCTCTTTTTGATGTTATTTTCATATTTTAAATATTTTCAACAGTCATGAAAAAAGAACAAAATATAGTCAAGGACCGGGGCATCCCCCTCCCTCCCCTTTCTCGTATCCTATTTCCTCTCCCCCCCTTCGGCCCTATCTAGGGCTTTTCCATGATTATTTTTGGACCCTAATCATTTTACCTTACGTTTAGTACATAATCCAATCCAGTTATTCTATATACCTCTAAAATTATATTTTTTTGATGGGCAAGTTCGCAAATTTTTTCCATTGAAGTACATAATATGTACTTACCTACTTATTCTCTTTCAGATTTTTCTTACGGCTATTTCCTAGTCAATTACTTATTTCTCGTGACCTGAAATTCAGAGGTTCATTCAATAAATTATTTACTATTTGCAATTAATCGTACATCATATCTTATTCCAGAAATTATGAATGAAGCTATCAAGCAGAAGAAGAAGACTGGGAAAGATGTTGAGTGGCGGGTGCTAGTGGTCGACCAGCTCGCCATGAGGATGGTCTCAGCTTGCTGTAAAATGCATGAAATCTCTGCTGAAGGAATCACCAGTAAGTGATGTCTGGACTGAATATTGGTTTTGAAACTAGAATAATACGCATTGCCATTGCAATTTTTCAAAATTTCCGCTCTAGCTTTATTTTTTTCCGAAAAAAAAAGACACTATCTTTATTTTTCAACTGAAATATTAGGTAATTACTTGATAGATTAAGGGGGAAAATGAAGAATTGAAAATAAATGAATTAAAATAATATTTGGCAGAAAGTTTGTAATGTTTGAATTTCCAAAGAAATTTAAAATTGTTAAGTCTTGAAAATTAGTTTTAATACTTGATTAATTCTGAGTAAAAGTAATGAATGTTTTACTTTTTCAAGTTTGTAGAGATTGCCTCGAAGTTATGTACGTTAATATAATTTTTCTTTAACAACAGTATCATGTTCAGAATTTCCTAATTATGGATCATAGGGAAAACTGGAAAAATATCTCCTCTTTATTTACATAAGCATGGATTGATTATTTTTATTTTCTGTGTAAGTTGAGGGAAAAAATCAGTCCCATTGAGGCACTGGATGCAAAAAGGGCACTTCTCAGTTGCAGTGTTTCAGAGTCTCGTCTAATATTTTATTCATTGTAAAGAATGTGAATGAAGCCATTTCACTAAAAATTTTACCGAATATTCCTCATGCTCCTACAATTTTCTATGGAAGAATTTTAGAAAAATTACCCATTAAATTCTCCTCCAAGGGATTAATTAGCAACAGAAATTCTGAAACACAGCAATCGAGAAGTGCCCTTTTCGCAACCAGTGCCTCAACGTATGTGGTGTATCTTCTGCAAAATCAAGTTTTATCAATTTTGGTGCTTATTTTTCTTGCACAAACAGTTCGCTCCAGTTTTGTGATGATCTAAAATTAAGAAAAAATTTAAGTTTTCTTAGCTCAGAAATTAATCATTATTTCCTCTTGTTTTTCTAGTTGTAGAAGATTTAAATAAGAAGCGGGAGCCTCTACCAACAATGGAAGCAGTTTACCTAATTAGTCCTTGCGAGAAATCAGTGCATGCCCTGATGAATGATTTTAATTATGGTAGCCGTACTATGTACAAAGCTGCTCATGTTTACTTCACTGAAGGTAAATTTGTTACTCTGATTAACTTGTCTGTGCTCTGGATAACATTTTTGTGTGATTAAAACGTATTTCAATGCAGGTACATTTTTTCAGAGGAAGCTGAAGCTGCCAAATTTTAAAGTACATACTTTAGTTTTGATCAAAGTTCCCCTCCCACATCAGGTCAGTAGGGTTGAGTAATTTGACCCTAAACTATAATATTTCAAGATTAAAGTAGGGCTCCCTGCAACCTGGAAAACTGTTAAGGTTATGAAAAGCCAGAGAATTTTTGGTGGCCAGGAATAGTCAGGGAACCTTGTGAGTAGCGCACCAGCTACCGAAAGTCCTTTTGAATAACTTTTGAAATAAATACTGAGTGTCTGTCTCTACAGTTCGAATGTTGTCCAACTTTGAGGAAAAATCAGTGTTCTTTTTAATATGGAATTAATACGGAAGTTCTGTCTGAAGGTGAAGAAAAGTCAGCAAATGTGAACATTTTGGAGTCAAGGAACAACAAGAAAAAAAATTGGAGAAAAAGCAGAGAAAGTCAGGGAACCCGAAAATGAAGGGCTAGTAGAAACTCTCCTGAAATGTAAATACTGAAAATTGTGGAATTAAATTAATCCAAATCGGTACGCCCGAGGGAGAAATATTTGCTTTCATAATTTCAGCCAAAAAATCCCAAGTTTTTTTAAGGTCATGCCTCGAAGTTCACCCAACTAAACCTTTCTCCACTCTGCTCCCTGTCTGCCCCCAATGACTTTCATTGAGATGTTAAATTTCCACCAAAGAGTAGCTCAGATGGTCACCAAATAATATGAGAAATTTAATCAGTTAATGAATTTGTAAAACTATTATATACATTCAGGCCTTTTTTACTTTTAATAATTGTGGATTTTTCTGAATTCCTCATTGAAACTTTTTCCAGCATCTGAAAACGAAGAATTTCTACCAGACATCCCAGGATTTGAAGACAATGTATTTTTTTCTGATTGTTTTCATTTAGCAAGAAGGAATTTTTATAGCTGTAGTTAGTTAAGTCAGGGCGGGTTTGAAGGAAAATAATCCAAGAATTACTGATAATAGTCTTAAAAATTCACACTGCGACGCCAGAAAAGCGAGCTTATAAACCTTCCAGCCATTTTTTTTTTAAATACAAAAAAAGAAATCAATTTTCTAAAATATCAGATTACTATTAAATTAAATCTGGATAATGATTCACAAATTTCAACAGAGCACCAATTTATTGTTGTTTTTTCTCCGCTCTTAATCCATGACATTAATTTCTGCTCACTGCTATTTCAGTTGATTCCTTAAGGAAAATACTACGATGTTTTTCTGAAATGACTTTTTAGCACTGAAACTGACTCTGCGCCAAAAATGGTGACGAAAGCCAAGCTCTACTTTTATCAAGTTTTATTTGGTCCTTGAGTACCTCTTATACTTTTTATTTAGTCCTTTCTGTTTTTGTTTTATTATCGGATGAAACCTGTTTTGAGTTTTATTAATTTTGTTTGTATTTTTTGAAAAATCACTTTTCAGCTTGCCAAGAAGAGCGCTTTAACAAACTTTGCCATGCCCCAGTTGCCAAATATATTAAAACATGTAAAGAAATTAATATTGCATTTATCGCGTATGAGCAGAAGGTATTTTAATTTCCGTTTCATTTTCATTTTCCTTCTTTTCTGTTTGTCTTTGATATATCTGTCTTGGATTAACTGTTCCGGTGTGATCTCTTGACGTTTGAATCTGTTAAATTAAGTCCCTCACTCTAATCGTTGCTCTGGTTTTGTATAGCTGTAATTATGTGTGTCAGTGTAAATTAAATGTTTCTCCAAATTTAAGGGTGATCCTCCTCCCCCCACCCCCTCATCTTTAAAAGGAGGAACACCTCTTATTACAAAAATTCTGTGATCCCCCAACTGTGAATGGTTCAGTGTTGATTAATGCTTAAAAAATCGTGTTTAGTTTACAAAAATTGTGTCATGATGGAGAAATACGAGATGCTGACAGGAATGACAAGTTTCAACTTCAAAAATTTAAGTCTCAAAATTCAATTTCAAAACTACCGTATTAAGAAGTTTTGAAGATTCTCAGTCATTATTTTAAAGGAAAGGCTACTGCTTCAATCTTTTTTCTTACTATACGAACCAGTCCTTACAGGAAGACAACAACCAAGAAAAAAACATAAAAATGTTCCTCTGACCTAACATTTAACATTTCACATATTTATTTTTTTCTTTGAAAACTGAGGGAAATCAGTCTCCAGCTAAATTCTATGTTGTGCTATAAAAGTTTCTGTACAGGTAGTTTTGTCAGCTCAGTGTTGTTGCTACATATGCAGCTGGCGCTATTCTTTGTGTATTCATATTTCTCATCCAAGATCGGCTCTCAGTATATAACTCTCTTCACCTTTTTCTTCATGGTTGTATTCACCGGTGATGATATAAAGTATTTTGGAAATTCTGAAATGGAAAGCAATATAGTATGCAGGAGGGGTATCAGTTTTCGTTATAGTCAAAACAATTTTTTTTGGAAGTGTAATATCAATACAAGGTTTCATGTGTTCAGCCAAATATTTTTTTGTATTGGATGGCAACCAAAATTAGCCTAATTGCACTTAATGTTGCAAAATTTCCCCTCTTGGTCAATTCTTTGACAGATAACTAAGGAAATTTGTACCTTGCACCTTCTCTAATTTTTTCCGAGAGCATGAGTTGTATCCAATGTTAGGGAGCTATGCCCCTGACCAATATGTGGCCCAACTCTCATAAGATGAATAGAGGTACAAAGAACTGCTAGGTACTTGTTCATTGAAGGAAGATAAATTGACAGATCAAAAGAAAATACAACAATTGCAGGAAGTGAGGGGGAAAAGGTGGTCCTGAAATTTGTTTTCCATCGTAATAAACTTGTTTTATCCGATAAATAAGGTTCCTTTGCAGGGATATTTGTGAGAAAGGTTTGAAGAATTTTTCTTATAATATCATGGGCTTGAAAAGCATCAATGTGTGTTCCAGGCATCTACATGTTTAAAGTTCTCGGGGTAATGCCTCCCAGGTTACAATTTGGAGACAAATATAAATTTTCCACATTGGACGCAGAGTATGCTAGGGATGACTGTGTTTAAATACCATTAAATAAATAAATGTTGTCTGAACATTTGAAGTCTTGATGTACATATCGTTAAGGAATCTTTATTGAGGGGAACGTTCCCAAGCAGAAAGGATCTATCTACGAAAAGGGATCAACGGAAACAGCAATCAGTCTGTAATAACGTTTTTCAAGATTCTTATGGTAGATAGGTCCTTTTTTTTCTTAGGAACGTCCAAGTAACAATGCTGTGGCATGAAAATTGCTTGGTGTAAAAAGTGAAGCTCGTGTAAATAAATGCATCGGATAGTATTTTCATCCCAAGAACAGAGTACCCTTCACTGTTCTCCCCCGAGTACAAGAAATGAAAATCTGAACAAAGTACCTAAGTGTCTTTAATGTTATAGCATAACTGCTGCCCAAAATTCATCTCTCTGTGCTTTAATTATTTTTCACATTTCAGGAATCCTTCAAACTAATGGATGCACACATCATCGCCTTCCAGTCGAAGTATTACAAGCGCCATTTGTGACATTAAATTGAGATATTTCATATGAGTTTAAATGAAGAATAGTGCCGAGCACAAGTTTTCAGCAGTATCTGGCATCAGTGAAGGCTTTATGTTGCCAAACTTCTCAAATTGTTCAATTTTTTTACGAAAAAGCTAACTAGCTTTCAAAGTTTTCCCTTAAATTAATTTTTTTCATTTTCCCTTAATGTCATTAAGATTAATCCTTGACATTTTCATGAAAGTCTGTGCAAAATTTTTAAAGAAAAAATCAAAATAATATTGAGATGTCCAGCAGTATAGTGGCGAATGGTGCTTTTGATACTTCATGCGAAAAGTGATGACATTGTATACCTCCACTCCAATTCTGCCCATTTTAGCTTTAATCGATCCTTTTATATGGACACTTGTATGCAACAAATGGGCGGGTAATTTCTCATCAATTCTCATGAATCGTTGGTGAAAATGAAAAACCTTAAATCTGGATAATAGTACCTCGAACTTTTTTTATCTTGCTTCGATTTCTCTTGAAAAACTCACCTTTGGATTTTCTTATACAAGCAAAGCAACATGATGTCAAATTTTCTGAATCAAAGGCAGTTGGTTTTCTTTTGTAAAACTAAAATATGACTGAAGTCAGTAATGACTTCTTTTCCACTGCTGGTTGATGCTGTCTATCTATCGATCGCTAAAGTGCAACATGTATTTCAAAATTTTTGTTCCTATATTATTTTTTTAAAGAAAAATGAGCCAACTTGGTAGCTTGAAATTTTTACAGAATATTTTACTTGCAGAGGAGAAAAATCAAGCTTTCAAGAAATTACGTTGACTAGTTTTTCAAAGGAAAAACAATGTATGCCAGAAAGTTTCCAACATTGCAAACGATGATACATGGTTCTGCCTTTTGGCTATTAGTATGTAAAATCACACTCTTGAGCAGTTAGTACTTAGGCATCGATTCACAAAAAGAGGATAATAACAAACATGCACTTATAATTAAGAAAATCAGAAAGTTGTATTTTTACTGGCTCTGTAAATTGGAGTGCAAAGCTAATAATGGCAAAATTAGAATGCTGTTGTACTAATGATGCATCCAACGATTCCCTTATGTCACTACGAGAAATTTTGTTCAAAAACATTGAGTTGCTCTGATTCATCGATTTTAGGACTTCATTCTTCTTCTTCTTTAGCCCAGAATTTTGATGTCAATGCAAAGAAAATAACTTAACCTTAGTAAAAGAGTTGTCTCCAAAACAAAATTTTACAAGAACTTGAAGAGTTGCAAATATATTAAGTTTCATATACAGTAGAACCTCAATTTCACAGCCGAAACATTGGTTTTTCTGCACATAACTATAATGTAAAGCTGCAATTTCTATCCAATGACTTGGCTGTACGCAAGGTTTGAGTAAAGGAATATCACTACTTTTATATAAACGTTGAAGTAATGCCACTAGCGACTAATAAACTGAGCTCTATTCCACTGAATTAAAGTAAAACGCAGGAACATAATACGGAGCTGGAATCATGAATCTATTGTATGGTGTCTTTCCATGAAGTACAACTGTCTGCTTTATTAGGTCAGGCGATTGAGGTTTTACTGTATCTTCAAGTACAATCTGTAGCTCGTTTTGAAATTTCTTGGCTGAAGAAGTAAATGCTCTGTCCACTACCTTGAAATTCGATCAGCATGATAACTGTGGAATGGTTTTCTGGATGTCTTTCTTCTTTCTTGTGTTTTCGCTCTCGCAAAGTTTGCCAAGAGGAATTATTCAATGAACTGTGCAAGTCCTGCGTAGCTAGATCAATAAAAACTCTAAAAGAGATAAATATTGCTTTTCTTCCGTATGAGTGTCAGGTGCGTTCTAACTTATAATCTAATCTTAACTTAACATCACAGACTAATTTGATTTTTTATCCCTCGTTCGTTAGCTATTCTCTATTTAAGCCCTCTATTCCTTCAGGGTGTGTGCAAATATTTTCCTGTCCTGGAAACTCAGAACTTTGAAATGCATAACTCTAAATTTACCTGCTAATCAGTTCCATAAAGAGGTAATTTTTATTCCTTGCTTGCTGTAAGGTTGAGTCAGATTCTATTGTGTCAAAATTATGTACGTAATAATTCTAGTTTCCCAAGACCAGGCCACAAACATATCCAAACATTTCTGTGAGTTCTGGTTACTGTAGTATTGGAAAAAAGTCCCTTATATCTTCAGAAATACTAGTTCCCTGCAATTTTGATCTGGAATAGCAGACAAAATTATTCATCCCAAGATTCTGAGATCACATTAGCATTCAATGTGTCGTATCAGTAAAGTTTTGACACACAAGCTTTAATGTAAAAATTGCCCAAATTTTGTTCTCAACAGATGCAAAAATTCAAGTACCAGTTAGACTTCAACTAGACCCCGGGAGAGCCATCCTATTATGTGAAAATTATATATTTCTTCAACATTCATGAAAATTTTGATCTCATGTATTTGTTCTGAATTTTGGTCAACACCTTGGAGGAATTCTTTGCTTGGCTATTTGATTCTCTCCTATCGCTAGCATTCCTTAACTTAGACAATCTCATCTTTAGCTCTTTTCCACTACATACATTCATAATACATGCACACATCTACCAGCAAACCTCGAATTCCATGCAATTCTTGTTGGTGTAACAAGTGATCAAGGATTGCAGAGTAACCGCCTTTTCAAATCTTAGATTCTTGTTTTGGCAACTTTTGGACCAAGTTCACTCAAGCAGTTGCTGGGCAATCCTAGCTTTACATGGTGGTTGCTGAGCAATTCTGGATTGCAATTTGCAATTAACATGTATTTGATGGTGTTTGTTTTGGTGCTACTTAATTCTTATCCAAAGCACTAGATATTTTCGAAAGCTTGGATTGTAGATCAAGTCCTGAAATTAGTGAAGACATTTGATTTTCGTAACCTTTTGTTTCTAAAATTGGCTTTTAAATGATCATTTATCCATTTATTTATTTTTCATTTTCCTGATTAGTTTTAATTTGGGAACACTATGATTAATTCTCTTTTGGGTTTTGTAGTCATAAACCTAAAACTTAGCATTTTTGTGCTCCCTAAAAATAACCAATAGAAATAGCTTTAAGTTACTGCTTAGAAATTAAATTTTTTCCCCCTTACTTTTCTAAGGCTTTTTTTTATATTTGTGTTGTCTTTGCCCTTTTCAAAGCCACCATCCCTTTTGTACTAGAAGTACAATAGAATAAAATACAAACAGGTATTTAGGACTGTATTGTAGTTGTTCCTGGATCAGCGAGCCCGGTATGGTTTATAGTGATTCAGGAAGGCTTAAAGAGATACTTAACGTGGCATCATAGATAGGACAATCTCAACAAATCTCAAGTAAAATTCATTGTCAGTCTAGTCCCTCACCTCCAAGTATGAACAACCCCATTTAGTTCTTCATCTGTTTTGCAACTTTTCACCAAACTCTTAACCAGTATATTTACATTTTAGTGTCGCCAAAATATGTCTCAAGCTGTGTAACAAATTCTAGGGCCAGTCAGAAAAGTTGTAATGACTTTCGAGAACATTTTTAAAAAAATTGAGAAGTTCAATCTTAGAGGACGTTTATATTTTCAAATGTTTCTAGTATCAATGCACTGGTTCATCTGTCAGAAGGACTTTAAAATTATATAGGCGGATATTATATCAGTCAGACAGTTGGTGTAGAATTCTCTGGAAATGGTTTCTCCTTGATTGTTTCTTTTTTTCTTTCATTTTTTATTTTTCAATTTTATGTGTGACCCTGTTGTAGACTTATGCATGCTCTGATTTGGTAGAGTGTGTGCTGTGTTGAGTAGAGGCATTTTCCTTTGTAGATTTATTTTGGTTGTATATTTTACTCAGAGGCTCAATTTACAATTCATGTTTTGTTTTTCTCATCTTTCTCTAATTTTCTGAAACATCTACTCAGATTCTTGATAGACAGGTGCATTTATTCTGAGCATCAACCAGAGTAATGATCACCAGATCTTGCTTTATGAGCAAAAATAAGGGATAAATAATTTTTGGCACTTGTTGGGCTTTTTGCTGAACGAATGGAAATGCTTTAAGGTTTGATATTACTTAATTGTGCTCTGGCTCTAAGGTACTTTCCTACATGTTAAACTTACAAACCTGAAAAAAAGTAGGGCCATTAAAGTCATAGTTTAATTTTTAGATTTGACAAGCATGTAATTTACTGCCAGGGGAATTTTTATCATTTTATGCAACACCTGTCTATGTTACATGTATATGTCTGTAATTTGTAATTCAGCTAAAAGTCAAAATTTCAAAATAAAGTAATCAAGTACAAAGTTAGAGCAACTCAGTGCCTACCGAGTTTTCCAAGACTGAAGCTTCCAAGTGCTGCACCTGTTTATCATGAATTTATGTTCATCAGTAACCATAGATGTGGTCTCTTTTATCATGAAAACATTTTTTATGCAAAAATTCAGCAATTCAAGATTGCAAATTTTGGATTCTCAAGTTTAAATTGAAATCGATTTTTTAAATAAACCAATGGGCCACCAGACAAGGTACAAAATTAAGAATTCTGATGTACATTTTGTCTCCAAAATTTCAAGTAAAACCCGATTTGCGCAATAGAAATTACTGAAATTAACGTTTAACAGTCTTGACACAGATATCAACGTGTTTATTTAGCACTGATCATGGAATATTTGAATTTTTCGCTCCCAAGAAAAACGAGCATCCAAGGGAGTCAAATCTTGCAATAAACGGCTTTGGCAAGCTTCTCACCCTACCTATGTTGTTCAAGTGTTAACAACGTGCAACAGCTGGGCCGGAGCCCTGAGATTGAGGTCACCATAATTTTATACCCTAGGGACTATTGTGGTAACGTCCATGGCACAACTTAACTTTGGTGGATTATCGTTTTTTTATGAGCAAGAAGTTGAAATTAATGCATTTAAACACGTTAATATCTTGATTACGAGTTACTTCCAAAAATTTTTATTGTATAAATTGTGTTCCATAGAAAATTTTAATGAGGAAACATGTATCATTATGCTCAAATTTGAGCGTTGTCAAGTGGTCGAAGGTGGAGAAAAATTGAATTATTCTTCAGTAGGAGTTGGGCTGCACTTATTCTCGTGGACATTTTATACCTTTGACGTTTCTTTATTGAAAATACTTTTTGTTCCAATTAATTAAGGAAATAATGAGGATTCTTAGGTATATCATGTATGCAATTTTATGTGCAGTTTAACCAAATTTTTACCCTTGAACCTTAGTAATGTTGAATATTATTACTAGCTGGTCTGTTTGATAGACATTCAATAATGTGGTTTATTCACTTGTTTCATCACACTCTGTTGTGATGAACAGATGAATTTAACCAAGAAACTTATAAGCTTCGTTTTTTAAAGAAATTTTTGGAATTTAATGGAAGTAATATGTATGAGTAGGAATAGGTCAATGAAAATTTTGTGAGCTCCTGTCATCATGTAACCCATAGAATGAAGTACTTCACATTGAAAATGTTTAAAATAAAATCTTTTAAAAAAAAGCAAATGATTAAAAATGAAAGATTCCTTTACTGAATGAGGAGTCAAGAAGAAATTTCAACTCGTGATTCACACACTTAGTGACAAGCATTTCTCTTATTTTTATCAATTTATATTGGAATATCTAGTTCAGAATTTTAATTTCTTCAAGTCATGCAATAGATTTCTCTTAACAAGAATTTTGGAATTAATGAACTGTCGGAAAATTCTATTGGCATCTCAAATTTCAAATCAAATGTTTCTCCTTCTCTCACAGGTGTTCTCACTTGATACTCCAGAAACATTCCAGTGCTTTTACAATCCTGCATATTCCAGCAACCGCAATGCCAATATGGAACGTATTGCAGAGCAAATCGCAACATTATGTGCAACTTTGGGCGAGTATCCCTCAGTAAGATATCGCAGGTTTGTATTTATGATTTATACTACATAATTTTATAAGCGCAGCTTATCTGTGATCAGCGGGTTTGAATATTATAGAGAAAGCCATTAGCCAAAAAAAAAAAACAAACAAACAAACAAACAAACAAAAACCTTACGCTCGGTTTTCTGATCAGTTTCAGCTGAGATAAAACTAGTTTGTAAAACTGACGATAGGGGCTAAGCTATATTAGATAAATTTTAGGGCAAGTTTGCCCTCTTAGTTAAGAAAAAAAAATACATTTGTCATCTTACAAACAATTGTAGGTAACTGCACTTGTCTGTTACTTTTTTCAGGCAAACCAGTCTCTAGTCTCTGTTCACTTTATAGTAAAGAAATTTGCAGAAGATTTTTGTTGGCTTGGAATCTCTTGAATTAGGCTTTGATAACCATCACTGTCAAGTACAAAAAAGTTCATCACTCATCATAATATCTCTCCAACAAAGTGAATTATTATATGAATTTTTTGTTCTGAGTTTTTTGATTATCCATAATTCTCAAGAATTAATTTTTCATTCAAGTCTAATCCTCCAGATTTTAATAGTTTATACTCAGATATCCAATGAGATAGGATAAAAGCCTTGCATCGCTCCTCAGTTTTCCATAAGCTCTTCTGTTCTATTGTTCAGTGACTTTGACAAGAATTTGGAATTGGCGCATGTGATCCAGCAGAAATTAGATGCATACAAAGCTGACGAACCAACGATGGGGGAGGGGCCAGAGAAAGCTCGCTCTCAGCTCTTGATTCTAGACAGAGGCTTTGATTGCGTTTCACCGGTTCTCCATGAGCTTACTCTTCAAGCTATGGCCTACGATTTGTTGCCAATTGAAAATGACGTTTACAAGTAAGTAACTATTCTCTCTTCTTCATCGCAAACCTCACTTTATTACAGAAAAGTTCAAGAGGTAGAAACATAATGTACAGTAGAGTTGCCATGAATTGGCTGTTTTGTAAAAGGTTGTTGGTAGGCTGTTTAAAGACTGTTTTGTACTTTTGAGACTAGTGTGCAACAACTGGTATTGGTGCATATGCAAGTTCTTAGCTCCTGAGTTCCCAAGGGCTTCCTGCTGTATGTTTAAGTAGGAGACCTGTACAGTTTCTAATTTATTATGGCATAAGTAAGCATTATTTTCCTACATGAGTTGGACTATTTTAAGAAGTGAGTTTCTCAAAAACAGACCTCTGAATCTCCCTGAAACTTTTTTGACACCAAGTCGCATCAAGTTTGAACTGAGAAAAGGAGGTTTCAAGTTTTATTCCTCCAAAAGACTCAATTTTAAGGACAAAGTTGAACGTATTTTCATGTTCAAAATATTTTCTCTTGCCACTGAATTTTTGAGTGGGTAAAATTTACAACTATTTAAATTCAAAACTGTGACCAGCTGTTATTTTTCTTTTTTCAAAATGTGGCTTGGGGTACGTTGCTGTTAAATGTAGTCCAAACATTGTTGTACCGAAGCTAAAGCTCTAGCGTCTAGCCCCATCCATGTCACAATTTTAATTCTCTTTTCTTTTGCAGGTATGAAGCTACCGCTGGGGCTCCAGAGAAAGAAGTTCTTCTGGATGAAAATGATGAGTTGTGGGTTGAATTGAGACACCAACATATTGCTGTTGTCTCTCAGTACGTATAGTATCTTTTCTTGTTTTAATGTATGAACGCTTGATTTGATGATTCACCATACTGTATGATAATATTTGACGCGTCTAGCAAACAGGATTATTAGAAGTTTTTCTTTACATTATCAGGATTGATGGAAGGGGGAAAATTGTTGTCAAGGCAACTTTTTCCCGAAAGTCAAATTTTCACTCTTATTTTTTTATTTATAGTAAGGTAGTATGTGAGTCTTACAATGAAAGTTGTACGCAAAAGCTTTTGCTAATATAACATATTTGTATCGTAAAATTAAAAGCTAGAGCATTTAAACAAAAATTTAAGAATTGTTAAGCAGTTTTTTAATATTCAGAATGTCAGCGGAACATCTTTTTTTTCTTTTAAATTTAAATCAAGTAGATTTCAGCATTTCTGGGTTTTAATGTTTGGACACAAAATATGCCTCATCAATGGGTTCAATTAAGTAATTCAAAATGTATCTGTTGCATCTCACCTAAAATTTTGATGATGAAACATGGATTGCCTTGCCTTGCTTTTTACCTCTTTGGTGGTTTATTTTGCTAACTTTTCAAATTTTTGAAACTGATTAATTGTTACCTCCCAGAAAGGTACATGATGAAACTTTCTTGATAGCATGACTCAAGATTTATTCAATTTTTTTTGAAGGAATGTTACCAAAAATCTCAAGAAGTTTATCGACTCAAAACGAATGCCCCAAGGAGACAAGCAATCAATGCGTGACCTCTCACAAATGATCAAGAAAATGCCTCAGTATCAGAAAGAGCTGAGTAAATATTCAACTCACTTGCATCTTGCTGAGGATTGTATGAAGGCATACCAAGGATATGTCGATAAATTGTGCAAAGTAGAACAGGTACCTCTTCTTGATTTTTTGTTCCTTGCATTTTATGTTAAATCATTCTCAGACTATTTTTTGTATCTGTTTTCTCTTGTTTGTATTTTTTTTTTTTAAATGTGTATGTATCCTAAAAATCTTTGACTTTTAACGAATGTGTAGGGTGGGAGAAAAATGCACGGGTTTGACAAGATGATAAAAATTGTTTAAAAATGTTATCACTCATAAGTGTTAAATAGTTCTGGTTTTCAAAGTGTTTCGGTCCTTCACTCCCTGGCCATCATCAGGATTGGCTGACTGATGATGGTGGGGAACGGCTGAAAAGCATCTAAAACGAGAACTTTTTAATGCAAGTAAATTTCCATCATCTTTGATTTTTGCACATAAATTGACTTTTCAGTTTAAGGAAATATTTAGAAAATCTTTAGAGATATCAATTGGATGTTGATACTTTATGTGGTTTTTTTTTTTTTTTTTTTTTTTTTTTTTTTTTTTTTTTTTTTTTTACCAAAACTCCAATGAAAAACTTTTGATGTGCTGAGACATATTTTGTTTGTCGACATTTGTTTTACTGCGTATTTGGTTGATATTATGAAGAAGGAGCAAATCACGCATCGAACATTAGTTTCACGGTATGATTATCATTTTTGTAGTGAGTTTTGTGGGCCTTTAGCCCCATCTTTCTTGTGAGTCCGACGTTTAATGATACAGGACGAATGTTTGCTTTTTCAAGCAGACATTGTGTAGAAACCAGGACAATGATTGGCAATTGATTTTCCCAGAGTAGCGGCTAAAGAAAAGACATCAAGGATAATACTGTGACCAGTACACTTCAATAGAGATGTTGAGAATTTGGATGAACAAAATCTGCTCCAAAACTGGGATTGAAAAAATTAGGATTTTAAAATATTTCCAAAATCTGTGAAACCTCCAATACAGAGCACCTTAATAGCTTAAAATTTGACTTTTTCAGGATCTAGCCATGGGCACAGATGCTGAAGGTGAGCGCATCAAGGATCATATGAGAAACATTGTGCCTGTTCTTCTCGACAAAGCTGTGTCAAATTATGATAAGTTGAGGATTATTATTCTGTACATCTTATCGAAGAATGGAATATCAGAAGAGAATTTGAATAAACTTATTCAGCACACGCAAATTTCACCGCAAGAAAAACAGGCCATTGTAAATCTAGCCAATCTGGGAGTCAACGTTGTAACAGATGTAAGAGCTTTTACTATGATTTTGTTTGTTTGTTTGTTTGTTTGTTTGTTCAAAAGACAATTAATATTTCCCATTCATATGATAGGCTTAGATGGTTAAAAATGGCTGCTCAAATTTTCAGAATCTTTAACTTTACCTGTTTGCATGTACAGCTTTTCATTCATGAGCCTGCTTTAACTTTCAATATCTAAAACTACTTCACTAGCTGTCTTAGAAGAAACATATGTAATATGGCTTTGGAACATGGTTTGGCAACTTCGGACTATTGCAAAAAAAAGTTCAAGAGAAAACACTGGATTGTATTTCCTGGAGAAAATTAAATATAAATGGAATTTTTGAAAAACTGTCAGGGAGACATGAGTGAGTTTTATAATTGGCGAATGTAATTACGTAATATGCTAAAGTGTTTTTGAATCCCATCATAGAAGTGAAAAATTAAAATAGTGAATATTTTCAATCACATATGTCTGAATTAATGACGGTTCAAGATAGATAAAGCTGATCATGTTTTATGTCAAAAAGTGAAATTAATATAGGTTCAAAAGCAATGAGATTAATAATAGAATTTGAGATGTATGCATAACTCCCTTATTACCTTTCCAGGGTGGGCGCAAAGTAAAAGTCTACCAACCACCTCGCAAAGAACGGATTACTGAGCAGACCTACCAGATGTCTCGTTGGACACCAGTCGTCAAGGACTTGATGGAAGATTGCATTGAGGATAAGTTAGACCTGAAACATTTTCCATTCCTTGGTGGCCGCGCAGCCTCCTCTGGCTACCATGCACCTACCAGGTAATATTTCAACTGTACATTATTTGAAGGGTATCAAGAATGAATGAGATAAATAATTTTTGTAATCTCAAGAAAAACATAACGGGCTCATCTCCGAATGATTTTGCCTCTAATGAAGCTAGTGCAGTCAGGGGCCGTTCGTTAAATGCGTAACACTCTAGGGAGAATGGATGAGAGAATTACGCCAATTTGTTTTTATTTATTAAAAAATAGGGACCTTTGTCACAAAAGCGTTATAGACAGGGAGGGGGAGGGGTTTGAAAAATTCGAAATTTAGCGTTATGTATTTCCCTCAACTCAAAGAATTTTTAACTCTAAAAAAGTTTTTTGACTAAATCCGGCAGAAAAGAACCTTATCGCATTAAGTTAAAACAGAGTCAAAGAAGTGTGAAGGTTTCTTAGAATGAATTTCATGTCTCATTCCTGGGACACTAATTATTCGTTATCGCCCTCGATTTTTTTATTTTTTAAGATATGTACCCATTAATTAAGTTCTAAAATACTCAAGACACAATTTTGTTGAATTATGACCGGCCTCTTTTTGTCAACGTAGTCTATACGTAGTCTCTTTAGGAACTCTTTTTCAAAAATATGATTTATCTCTGGTAATATTAACCACCATGATGGCTGAAGAATTTTGTTGATTTTGAATGCTCTTATTACAGTGCCAGATATGGACATTGGCACAAGGACAAAGGACAACAGACGGTGAAAAACGTTCCACGCCTAATAGTTTTCATTGTTGGAGGTGTCTCATATTCTGAGATCCGATGTGCATATGAAGTCACCAATGCCATCAAGACATGGGAAGTCATCATAGGTAAGGCTGTGAAGGTTTCACTTTCTTGCTCGTTTTATCTTTTTGTAAAGCCCAACTAGTGTGATTCAGCATTATTATGTATCGGCAGACTTTGGATGTTGGGCAGTAGGGATCTTTCTGCATGCAACATGTTTTGTTCCCACTAGAAATTAGATATTTGCCGAGTGATTAGCAAATTTTGACATTGGCCAGCAGCATGGAGAAAAACATTCAGGGACGCGCTTGCCACTTACTAAACCCAGAATGTTTGTCTTTCAACTTTTAATTTGGCAAAAACTATGCAGTATAGTGCCACTTGTAGTGGCTTCCAAATTATTAATGGTTGTTTCAATTTTAGTATAAAAATTGGACTAATTTAACTGGGTTAATATACCAAGATTTTTTTGGTGGGCGTTTATGACACTGTTAAATCCAATACAGTGTGAACCAATCGTCAAAATCTCTTTTTTCCCCCACTTTGATGGAAAATTTCTTTAATATTTTCCATAAACTTTGTTTAAGTTGTATTCCAATTCATTAATGACTTGATATTAATAACTTTCATTTTGACTTGATTTTGACAGGATCCTCTCACATACTAACGCCCGAAGATTTCCTAAACAACCTTGCAAATCTCAGTGCATAAGTAAATTCTTTGGAGACCGAGTAAGTATCGCTTCTCTGTGATAAAGTTCTAATGTCGCAATAGTCCGGAACCGCCGTTCAAGTGTATTCAAGTTACTTTGATGATTTGATGCAAATCCATTGTTTTCACAATATTCAGTGTTGTTATTGTTAATCTATTCATTTTATTATTTATTGTATACTTCATTTATATTTATTTATTTATTCAAATTTTATCATAATTGCACGGACCTAGATCCTAAGTATCGGCAATGTGGATAGGGAGTCAAAGGAAACAAGCGCTTGGAAACTACCAAAACTTCTCGTAAGTAAATTATTCCAGTTGTGTCTATAACGTTAAATTTGCATTCAAATGCTAAAAAAAATATTTCATGGATTTCAAAAAAAAAAAACCGAAGTGCAGAAAATTGATTGAGTCAGGTGAGAAATGATTGATCTGTTAGTCTCCCATTGTTTGTTTCCCAGGCTTTTATTCACCTACCTCCACAGCTGCTGATCATTAGTTTAGGTTTTAGGTACTTTAATATTATTCTAATACCATTAAGTTGGTTTTGTTCAAAACCTAGCTTTTGTAACTATCCGTAACGATTAAGTTAATTACCGAGTACCTTAGGTAGTAGCTTTTGTTATTTGCCGTAATCTCATTCATTTTCATGTTAATATCAGCGTACACCCTGTCATCAGTTAACATTTGTCTACTATTTTCTTCTTTTTCAACATAGTAACCAGTTCTGAGGAAAAATAGCCGAAATTAGAATTAAATTGGTTCGCAAAGCAGAGAAATGCATACTGTTTCAGTCAAATTACATCTCATATTCTAGTTATGTGCGATCCTACTAGATAAGTTAATTTTCAGCTTAACGTTTTGATAAATTTTTAGTTTTCCACAATATAGTGAAGCCTTTTTCTTCTTGAACGATAACTTTTCGTTGGTTTTATCTGATATATTTTCAGTTAAATCCATTAGATTTAAATATTCCTTCAAGCTATGGACGTTAAGATGTGTAAAAGAGACAAAATAGTTTATCTAGGAAGGCCTGAGAATTTTTAGAAAATCGTAGTGCCTCTGTTAATGCTGATCATTACTTTTTTCTCAGTTGCTGGTGTCATATTTTAGGTGTATAAGTTTATCAGCCCTCATAATTCACCCTGTTCCCAAGAAGTTGTTTCAATTCTTCTTGGGCTTATAACCAATGACATGCTTCATTTCATGATATGCACTTGACACTGAGTTTAAGCAAATGCAAATGCAAAAGTTACACACATGTAATGCACTTAATGATTGATTCACACTTAAGGAAACGCTATAAACAATTACTTTATAAAGTTGATTGTATAATCTTACAAAGTTGATTTTCTAGTATACTACAAGTGAAATCATTTGAGTTACCCAACCATTTGCATCTTCTAATTTCATCAAACTAATGAAGCACTGGTTTATTGACTAGTATCAGATGTTTTTCTTGAAAATGTTGTACTCTATATAGAGAAGTAGAGTTTTAAACCATGAGATTTTAATGGTCACCTTTGTGATATTCTATGTATTTGATGATTTGCAAGGTTTAATTCTCATTTGTGGACATTTTTCTACAAAAATCTCTTGTCTTCAGCACTTATTAACAAAGAATGTAATCGTCTGTCGGAAAGATAAAGCCTTAAAAGCTAGAGAATAAGAAAATATTTAAATTTTTAGAGTGCACAGGAGCTAACTTCTAATGCATATTTAGATCTCAATAGAAATTGAATCTCGAGAGCTTGATGATTTTCTGCAAATTTGCAAAAGCTGCGATTTGCTAGAAGCACTTCATAATTTAAGCGAACATCCTTCAAAGGAACTATCAGCTATCAGCAGTTACCTGAAAATCATTATGTGACATATTGTCTCTATGGCAGTAAGCTGCAAGAAAATTGAAATTGCCTGAATTAAGAAGTAGTGTTTAATTTTTCTAATATTGCTTCAAACAACATTCCAATTTTTCAAAAAATTATTTTTGGGCACGGTTGTTTTTAATAGCAATCAACACCGATATGATTTCTTTCAATATTCTGTGTTCAGTTTCTGCGTTAAATTTAAAGTATTTTGTTTATCAGTTGAAAACTCTTAGTGAAATCGCATTTCTTAGTACATTATACCCAGGCAAAATATGCATTTAAAAGGATGTTTATTTAGCGTAGTTAGTATGATGCAGAATTTTTCAGAAATATAAAGCTATTACCAAAGAAACCAAAGACAAAGCATACTTAATTTTATTTTTCATTAAAGTTTGGAGGAAATAATTGTACACTATCTCCAAGTATTCATCAAAATTGTAAAGCGGTTAATGAGAATCTGACAACAATCGAAATACAAGTTGAAAAATGTCTCTTATTTTATCTGTATAGTCTTGAATTATATTAAGCGTCATCTTAATTTTGAAATATTACAATTTTTATAATCATTTAGACAAATGCTGCGTTAGAAATGCTATTTTCCTTTTTTGGAAAGCATATCTGTATGAAATAATTTCAATGTATCAGTTTATCAAGCATAATTTTATTTTGGGGATGCTTCACAATGAAGATTACCTTCGCAAAAAGTAAAAAAAGAAGATGCCTTCTTTGTGTTATTTAGTTACCATAATTTTCTTTTGTGTTTTTATCTCTAGCAAGGTCATTATATGTATTATTTTTAATTTGTAATATTTTTCAAACAGGTCGAAACAGCAGTTCACTGTAATAAAAGCATTACCTCACTTGTTGCAGTCGTAATGTGAGAGATGGGGTTGTGCCGTCATTTTGGAGTAAGGGTAAAATCTTACATGCAAAATCTAACATGATATCGTGGTGGCAAGCGTACAACAGGCCGATTACTAAAATTATGTGTTGGTCTGCTGGACAAGACCAGACTAAGATGGAACAGGACTGTGTGATCAGCTGGTTACGTCAATCAGACTACTAGCAACCATTTTTTGTGCTCTATATTAGGCTGAATGATGAACTAGTAAAAGACGCCTCCTTGCTGGCTGACAACCAGTCAGTTATTTAGCCCAATTAAGGGCTTACAATACAGCTGCCGGCTGTTCACTCAACTTAGGTGATTAATTAATAGCTCCATTCCATCTTCGTTCAGTCTAGTCTAGAAAGCAAACTCATAATTTCAATGATGAGCTTGTAGGGAAGTTTTTCTCAACGTGAAAGCGGTCTAAAGTTAAAGTTAAAATGCTCTCTATCTGATTCAAGCAGCTCTCCTTAGGGTGGGCCAGATTNGGGGGGGGGGGGGGGGGAGACTAAATGTCTTTCCCGGGAACTTAGGCACAAGAAAGCAGATCCATGTCTGATTAAAAAAAAATCGGCCCCTCCAGTTAGTTTTTGATAAAAATCTGCGAATATTATCCTGACATCACAAAATCTGTACATAATTTTCTCTCTCAAACAGGATTGAATTTTTGGTGGCTTTGACAGCTGTTTTCTCAGCAAATGCTCATTGTTTTGTTTAAAGAACAAAAACAGTGAAAAAGAAAAAAAACACACGTGACCTCTTTTAAGTACCTTGGGAGAATAGGTAAATAGTTGAAGCAGCCCCATCAGTGCAAGGCTTAGTACTGTTATGTAGTTTAATTGTACTTATCATTTTTGCCTTGCTCAGACAAGGATATTTTATTTATTGATGCATTATGATGCTCGTTTTAGCAGAAAGCAGTCAGTATTACTAGGTTCCTTGTATTAGTATTCACTAGAGTTAATTTTGTAGAATCGGATGCTTGAGGAAATTTGTTCTAAAGATAAATTCGCCTTTAACTGCTCTTTCCTTATTTTATTTTTTTTTACTTTAGGTCAAAATGAAGTTTTTCTATTACGTACATTTTAGTTTATCAAAAAGCTCCCAAGTTAGCTGAATCGGGATATCCATAGCTAAATTTTTCTTGTCTTATAATGGGGATAGATGAGTGTAACCTACATCATTCATTTATATTCAATTGTCTTATTCATGGAACGATTGTCGAATAATTTTTTTAATGAGGACATTAGTCATTAGTAAGGAAAATTCCAATTTTTTTTCTTGGCCCTTTTATTGTTTAGTATCTTTCCTCTTTCATTCTAGTCTTCAAATTTTTGATCTGTTTCAGCTCATTAATGAAACTTGTACTAAAGTGGCCTACTTTTAGCTGTTGAGTAGTCTCTTTTCCATGTTTTCATCTAACCGAAAATTTTTTATAAATACAATTTTAGTACCTAACATTAACGCATGGTTATAATATCCAGTAGGTTTTTAAAGTGTTCGCAATTTCATTTTCAGATAGTTGTTTATCTTAAATAACTTTTTGGTGGATAGCTCTGGAAACTATAGAAAATTTACCCTCAAAGACTACCATTGATTGCTTTTAATCACCGATGTATAATATTATTTAATGCAAATTGAAGCAAAACAAAATTTAAACAGAAAGAGCACTCAGAATTTTTAAGTGCAAAAGCGGTCCACAGCACCAATCCCCCCACCGTATTTAAATTGAACTTTGCTTCAACCAAATTCGTTTGTAGTATTGATTCCATGAATTTTTTGACTAGCTAGAGACGTCATCAGAATAATGCAAAGGAAATCCCTGTCTGTTAGTACTACTATAATAGAGTTCTAATGACTCTAATAGAGTTCTAAGCAAGAGCCTCGTTAGTCAATTGTATATTGTTTTATCACTTGTTTGAGCCTGTTAATTATAAGTTAAGTAATCCTGTTCAATTTTTGTTTCTGTTGTGGTTCCAGTGTACAGTCATTACAATTGTAAACATTACATCAATAATATTTATTTCTCTTCAAATTTTGATGTCTCTCACTATTTTTTACTCCGAAAATCTGGTTTGAAGAATATCGTTTTCAAAATTCAAGACTTATCCAAGGGTGTCACTGGGGGAGGTAAGGGGTCAATAGCCTTCTTCTCCCTCTCTAATATTAGAGTTGACTTATTAAAAAATTGAGCATTCTTGGTCAGTTTCGATCAATTTTAGAGGAGATTCCTTGGAAGTATCGTTCTTCCTGAAGCAAATGCCATCTCTTATTGCCGTAGTCTAATTATGTATTATCTTTCCTGCAAAAGAGGGAAAAAATAAGACATAACTTGTATGACTCGAAGAAAAAAATCATGTAAAATTGCAAAAACGGGACGACATAAATTGAAAGATGAACTCCGTCCTATTCAACAGAAAAAAATTGATTATAATGACCCAATATTATTGAGCTTGACTAGTCGCACATTTTCACCTGGCAAAATAAGGTTGCAAAAAAACATTTTAAGTGTGAATGTAAGCATGTAACTGTATCTCTAACATTGAGACTTTGAAAGGAATAAAACACTATCCTCTTTTCTTGGTTTGATCATGATGTAATGTGATTTCTCTCCGTTAAAAATCAGTCCCTATATGCACACACAGATTCCAATAAATTTCAAGGTCACAGAAAGTCTCAACGTAGAGGGTTGCAACTTGATTAATTATTTTAGTGCCAAGGTATTAATTGCATTGCATTAAATTGAAACTCCAGGTTGCCTGCACACAGAGTAAGCAATTTTTTTAAATCAGTTAAACAGAATTGAAGTAGGTTTTATTTATTAATTTTTTTTTTCGTTCCAATGGTGCAGGTATTGAAATTAATCTGATTTTGAACTGAGAAAAAATGCACACATGCTCCTGTAGAATGGAGATGACAGTAATACACAAAAATAATTCAACTAAAAAACACAAGATAACGTGTAACCAAGGCTAAAAAACAACGAACACAAAACCTGGGACGTTTTGGGTTCATAAATATTTCATATATCTTCTTTTTTGTCTCTTGGTCGACGAGGGGGCTGAAACCGACCCGAAACGTCTCGGGCTTTGTGTTTTTAGTCTTTTAGCCTTTACCCGTTTTCTTGTATTTTTAGTACCACTCTAGTAACGTTCATCAGTTTTCCTTTGAAAAAATAAATGTAGATCAGAATATACAACGTGGCAAAATCCAGGTGCGTGTTTTTCGCGACTTTCACCATTGAACTCGATGCACGGTGACAGTAAGAGAGGCGCATCTTACGAACTGGGTCAATCACAGAATCAGTTTATAATAGACATCTGAAAAGAAGAAGGGAGGGGGGCAACGAGCGATGCAAGGGAACGCCGGCCCCCGCCGCCCCCCGCGAACCTAAACGCGGCAACTTTTTGCTGGTCCATGGGTTGTTTGGCATCTCAGTCTATTATTTTCGAGCCGAAGTCTCGACGTGAATCCGACGAAACTTTACGAGTCGAGACTTTTTGCGTTGTGAATGTGCGAGTGTGCTATGCCCGGGTTTTGTGGTTTCCTCGGGGATTAGGTGATCTGTGCTGGTGCTTCGCAAAAATGCCGATTTTTGGGATCGATTTCGCCCAAAACTTCGGGTGAGTACCTTTTTCTCAATTAGATTTTCCGAGTCGTATTCCGTTCGTAAATTTTGTCAAAATTTTTGGGGCCAGAAAATTTACTTAGGTAAGGGATGTGACCCCCCCCCCCACCCCCTCGTAACTTAAACATTTTCTAGTAAACGCTAATCCTTCGCGACATTTAGCGAAATTTTGACCGCGTTAAGCAGAAAGGAATCAAGCCACATCAGCTATTGCCAAATTTAACCGAGCAATTTAATTTTTATGAGAGAACGTTTTTGGGGATTCTTCTGAAAATTTTAAGGACGTTGCTTCGCACTGTGCCTGTGTAGAAATTTCACTGAAATTTACGCAAAAATCCGCAAAATCGTCTTCATGCAAAAAATTAAATTGCCGTAT